AAACAGAGGTGGATGGAAACACTACCTCATGAGGCTAATTTAAGAAACTTTCGCGACCTTCACTAAATGCTGCGTGTCCCTATTCTCTTTCTATTGAAAAAAATCATCTATTGACCCTATCAATGTTAAATATATTCAAGCTCTAAAAAACTCAACCAAGTGACGCAGAAGATAACACTTTTTCGAAGTGACAAAAATGCTGTGTTTCACGAAGTTTTCAATTATTAAAGCGATCAATGAAGGGGATCTAAAGAGCAAATGGAAAATATATGTTTCAAATCCCAAATAAGTTCACTGTATGAAAATTGCTTCAGCAATGTCAATTAAAGGCTTGGACAGGTCATGGACCTGACAATTAGCAAACTATTGCAGATAATATTTACAGTATAAATCTTACTTAAGAAAAGTTATGTGAGACTATGGTAGAATTGCGGAGATCAATATTTGTATGCGTCATACATAGTTGTTTGGACCAATGGATGAAATGCTTTATATGCCCTAAAGGGTTATATGTTTTTTTGTATTATCAGAAGGAATAGCTATTTTAATCACCACGGGCGTGTCTAACGCTAGAGTTTATTATGTGCACATGTCATACTTTGATGGCCAATGGTTAAAGCAATGAGTCCACTAAGAGGCTAGAAAGCTTTTTTTTTTGAAAAACTTTTGGATAGAAAAACTGCAATCATTTACACAGCTTGCTAGGCCAATTTCGACCTTTACCCCAACACAAGGGTTAATATTATCACTGCTTGTTAGCGCTTATGTAAACTGTGCCTTTCTCTCGTTCTCAGCACATCATACTTTTTATCAGCGCTGCTTTCATTAATACCTCAGAGTGTGTGCAACAAGTTGCTTTGCTGTAGTGCTGTGTTATACCACACGGCAGTTAACAACAAACACAGCAAAACTCAATGCAGCAAAGAAATCATTCCACAAGTTTGTATGTATGTGTGTGCGCTATTACATACACATCGCATGAAGTGAGGTGAAGAGTCGTGGCGTTCAAGTCAACATGCAAGCAGTCTACCACTCCCCCACCTACCGCACCAAACCATACTAATTATAATTTTTTGCGCCAATAATTTGAGCAGAAACAAATGACAACTAGCAAAAAAGTGGGCCTATCAGCAGGCATTGCAGTTGTTGTTGTTTTTTCGTTAGCCGTGTTATATTGTTAATGTTCAGCAAGTTGGCTGGCTGACGGCCGTGCCGATGTTGACGATCGGAACCAACCGGCGAGTGCCACCAACAACAGCCAGCGCAACAGTGGCAACTATGGCAGCAGGAAGAGCAACACCAAGGGCAACAGCTGCCGTTGCTGTCAGAACGCTTGCTTGGCGGTTGCAACGCTGGCTAACTGCACGCGCGCACACACACACACACACTACCACTCGCTGACCAAGTCTGGCAGCTTATGCACATGCCCGTGTTAGCTGTTGGCGGCAGTAATTGCCGCATCGGCGACAGTTTGTGCAACAATATGCGAGTTGTGTCCCACCAGCGCAACAACATCTGACTGCGTGTTACATACCACCTCGCCTGCACCGCCGTACGCGTGGGCCATACACTCTCGACCTAACCTCACTTGTGTTCATCGTATTTTGTCTTCTGCCTGCCTCTTGCATTCTGCTTCACTGCCGCATTTTATGGCAGTGCGCACGCACAAAAATATATGTTCTCACATAATTATTTACGATTTCACATTATCATGCAGCATTGCCATATATTTGTATTTTATTTCAATTCATTTGCTTGCATTGTTGTTTTTGTTGTGCGACATTTTCACTTTTCGCTGCATCAACATTACGCGCCTGTTCGTCCATCAGCGGCTCACTCATGGCCCTTCAATCACTTGATTTTGCTTATATTCATTAGGTTTTTTCATTGTGTTTTTGTACTCTTTGCATATCCATGTACTTGTGTGTGCGTGTGTGTATATATGTCTGCTTGCAGTGCGAATTTGCGCTGGTTTAAATGTATGTGTATTTGTGTTTTTAGTGCGCTAATGCCAATACTTAGCGTTCGTTCGACTGACTTTATCGTCAGCATCAACAATCGCACAACAGCAACAACCACAACAATTGAGTGACACATGGCGACCCATAACGATCGCAATCGATAATGAACATACTTAAATGGCGACTAGGTGATTTGTGTTTTCTACACAGGATTGAGCTGCAGTTTTTTACACATACATAAATATAGTTTTATGCGTTTGTGTTACGCTCACACATATATACATATGTACATATTTGTAATTTGAGGGTGATGCCGCATTCACTTGTTCTTTTCGTGGGGTAATGGCAAAAGTCACCAAGGAGGTCAACAAAGATTTTATTCAAAGTGAACATCTTTCATTTGAGGACTTAGGCAAAGGATGTTAAAGATCGAATATTTAACTTAGAGCGTGTCAAAGTTGCTCCCAGATAAGAACTTGATGATAAAATTCCATCCATGGATTTTTATTATTAAATTAGACTCTCAATATCCATCAACGTAATAAACAGGAACTTTCTGAAGTTAATTACCATTAGGTCTACATACATATATATATAGATTTTGATCAGGAAATTTTTTGGAAATTATATTTTTTTGAAAGACAAATACATTATAGGCACTCGCAATAGGGTAAAAGGCTGATCCTAATACAATCGCCAAAAGTATTCCAACTTAGACAGCCTAGAATGCCAGTGTATTGTGGTACCTAAAACTCCCATATAATTATTATTAAAACGCCCTTATTTCGACAAAGCGCTTTGAGCCTACCACAAATTTTTTGAGGCGGCTAATACATCTACTCTATCTGAATAGCAGCTACTTCTGCCTGAAAAACACGCAGTAATCTGGTAGCCTAAAACTAAGCTTGCCGTAGAGCTCCCTGCAAAAAACTTTCTCTGCAACCTTTTCTCCAATCTTCGACCCTTCCGTGAAAAAGCTCACTGGTACTACCCACTCGACTTTACATCTCAAAGTATTATATTTCTAAGCTTTAAAGTTCATCAATCTATTCTTTACAAGAATCCTATGCCCACATCATCATTCTCGAGTTTACCGCAATGCTTTGTAAAAGCTACTGAACCTCTTCTAAAACGGAGTTACTCTAAAATCAACCTATAATCATCTTCCCTAGAAGGCATTAGACCGAAAGAATCGAATGTAGAAGTATTTGGAAAGCACTTCGAACGCTGTAAAGCACATTCTGTCATAAATTAGGAAATATGGTTGTAAAGTCTCTTTAGTTCGTAATCGCTACTAGACTAATTTCGAGGACCCTCAATATACAAGTATTTCGCTAACATTTCCTTTTCAAATATTTTACTTGAACACATAAAGTCCAACACCATATATGCGAGTATATACACAAAAAACAATAAGAAGAAATCCTTCTATTCTCCCAACTAATTTCTAAATAATTCCCACATATTAAAGAGTTTTTTTCGATCATTTCACTTTTTATTATTTGCTCAAAGCACTTTGATCAAACAGCACAGCATCTTCAATATTTCACACGCTTAATTTGAATACGCAAGCAATTTTTTCATGCTTTTACTATGAAAAAAATATCGAAAGTGTTGAAAAAGTAGTGAAAAAAATCGAAAATACAAATATCGTCCTTCTTGCTGCTGTCGCCCTTCTAAGATTATCACTCCGCGCTCTTCTTCTTTTGCATGCGTATCTAACGAGCAACGTGGCTGATGATCCTTTTCATCATTTTTTGTTTGCGGCTCGTTGTGTGCGCTCACCTTAGCGGTGCTGTTGCTGACGAAATTTGAATGAAACGCGCAGCCGCACCGCTCCATCCATCATCCACCGCTTTGCATAGAACGAGTTGAGCGCTTCTGCACAAGCATAACGCAGCGCGTATATTGTTTATGTGCTTATGCTTTGCATACATACAAACTAAATAACAACTTGAATGCTGCAGTATAAATATGTATGTGTTTTTTATGCACATTGCACACCCATTTCCTTATGCAGATTGTTTTGCGGCAGTGAGGTAGCGGCACAGCGTAGTCGAACGCTTGGGCAGTTTTTTTTGCTGCTCTCAGCTTAGTTTAGCTTAGTCCGGGCTGGTTGGGTATGGTCTGTCTGGCCTGGCCTGCCTTGTCTGTGATTTCATTTTTGGGGGATTTTTTTACATGTCCCTTTTTTTGCTATGGTCGTCTTTGGCTGGTTTGAAAAAGGGTTATGGTCCACATATGTACGTCGGCCGTCATGTTAGTTGAGTCCTGTTTTTTGCTTATCACAAAAAAGGCTTTTTTTCTTGTTGTTTTTATTGTTTATATTGCCTACCAAGTTTAGTTCGATACTGGCTTTGCTGCATTTTTTTCTTATAGTTTCAAAAGTGTTGTGGGAATCTCATTAATGTGCGGAGAATCTCATTTGCGCTGACAAGAGTTATTTTTACGCCAGTTTTTGAGGCAAAAAACATGTTTTTTATAATCTTTGCAGCATGGTTTAATATGAGAAGAATGAGTGTATAAAATAAAGGGCTAACGGATTTTTAATTAATTGATTTTTTGTTATAATTCGCGAAGGTATTACTAGTTTAGCAACAAAAATTTACATATTTTTACAATTACAATTTCCTGATAAAAAAAAAGAAAAAATAATTAATGTTAAATCGTAACAAAAAAGAAAAAAATAATGTTATTGTCAGCTTTAAATACAGAAAGGGAAGTGCTAATAAAATATTGCCTACATCTAAGCGCATTGCATTGCTAAAAGTTTTAAATTCTATTTCATAAATATTATTGTCCGATAAGTAATATATAAAGTATATAATATTATTCCTTTTGACGTTCTTCTCTTTGGAAGGTTTCCTAGTCAATACGAGTTGTATACGGTTGCTAAGATATCTTAAGTATAATCTCAGAAATAGTTGGGCTTGAAATATAAAGTACACTTCTACTAATAATACATTCCAAACTTACTCCAAACTAATTACATCCTTATTTTTATTCCACTAAATTTATGATATATCATTTTTATTACAGTGGTCGCCACATCTCGCCCCAATAATGAAGCGGAAACACAGCTTTATCGCGTACTGCAACGAGCCAGTCTGCTCGTCTACTACGACACACTGCTGGAAATGGGCGGCGATGATGTACAGCAACTATACGAAGCGGGCGAAGAAGAGTTCCTCGAAATCATGGCTTTAGTAGGTATGGCGTCGAAGCCTTTGCATGTACGTCGACTACAGAAAGCATTACATGAGTGGGCAAATAACCCATCGTTGTTTCAGGGTCTCATAACATCCAATTCTAGCACACCGGGTAAGTTCATGTAACCAAAAAATGTTTAAAGCTAATTAACTAGAGCTTTCCTTTTCTCTACAGGACTCTTTGACACACCCACCAAATCCACTACGTTACATATGAAACACGACGTCTCACCTTCGTTTACACGTACCGCTTTTCCCACCTACAATCCCACACCATCCGCCTTTAATCCCACACCACTCGCTGCCACTTCCTCCCATTTGATTTCACAAATCTGCCAACCTGTTATCCCAATGCCTGTCATACAACCACATACCCCACTACCGCTTCCCGCAGCCACTCTCCCTGCTGCCGCTACACCAGTTGTACCACCCACATTAGGCGCCTCAACAGGTGGCAACACCACTGCTGGTACCACACATCAAGTCTCGTCCAGTTCGCCGCAACTCACACCCGTACTCACAGAAATGCAAGTGGCGCGCATAACACAAGGTGCTGAGAAAATCGCGCGACAATTGCCACAACGCGAACCACGTGCACACACTTCGAAGAAACGTACTAGCCGCGAGCTCGAACAGGTCATTGCCATGCAAGAGAATGATCCACGTCGCATGGACGAAATTCGCAAGTACTCAGCTATTTATGGGCGCTTCGATTGTAAGCGTCGTCCGGAGAAACCGCTCACGCTGCACGAAGTCTGTGTAAATGAGGCGGCGGCGCAACTGTGTCGTTTAGTGCCAGCTCTATTGACACGTCGCGACGAGCTCTTTCCATTGGCGCGTCAAATCGTCAAAGATGCGGGTTTCGGTCACTCGGCGAGCATAGCGCGATATGGCGCTCTTTTGCCGCAGGTAATGCAAGCACAGCAGGCCATGACACGTTCCGCCGCCGTCCTGGATTGTGAGTCGAGTGATTCGACGGCTTCGGCGTCGAGTAAGCGTACACGTTTGGCCTCAACTGAGACAACGAACGCCATAACGCCAACCGATTTGGGGCTGAGTCGGGTAAGCAAATAACGCTCTGAACAGTACGAAAATGCTTACGCCAATTGCTGTGTTATATTTACAAAAATTTAATCCATATTGCTTTTTTTGCTTTATAACACGCTTTAGCTTCAGCTTGTGGTTACAAATATGGTGGAGAATGCTTTGAGGGTAAATGCTTACAATACAATAGCTTATTGTTATGGGCCTCTTTCAGCGCTGATATTTTACTATGATTCTGCATTGAGAAACATTTATTATATATACATTTTCTCAACATTATATTTATCTGCAGGGATTCACCTAGGATCTCAACTAGGTTCGATTATATAGACTAAGGGCTCGAATCTTCTTTAGACAGAATATGAACAGGTAGTTCTTGAAATACACCTTCAAAAATTAAAAGCAACGATACTACAAAAATTAGACTTAAAGAAAAAGAGTTGGTTTTTTGGTCTTCTTTACTTCTGCTTGCCTACTCGCTCCACTATGTCCGTAGCCTAAGTATTTTGTTTGAGAAAATATTTACTACACTACAAAAAAATGTTAGTGGAATAATGTGTTATTAGGTAAATGAGCATTTGAAATCTTAACTGTTGCTTCAGGGACCTTTACTGCTACGCGGTTAATCCAAAAACGTGCAATAGAAGGTTTTTTGTGAAATTATTTTAATAAACAATCTAATTTTCACTGTAGCTGTTTGGGCGTGATTTTTGGGCTGAGAATCTTAAAAAATTTGTGCGTCAAAAAAACTTAGAGTGCAGAACTTCTCCATTCAAAAGAATCTCGTTTTCCACTCTTTCCCTCCCAAAAAATAAATTGATTCTGATGTATGGTATAAACATACCTGTGAACCTGTAACCTCAAATTAGATAACCCAAAATTTTGTTGTTAAAAAATATATAAAAATTAGAATTGTAGGTGAACACAGTAAAATGTAATTCACACAGTATTAACCAAAGTATTGAAACATTTAAAAAGTATTATTATTATATTACTAACTGTAAATGATTGCATTATTTAAGTATTTAGTGGTTTTGGTGAATTATTTGTATGTAACTTATATAAAAATCGTTGATGAAATTTAAATTAATCGGTAAATTAACTTTTGGTAACAAAATAACGGTAAATTAATCAATAAATATATTTAGTATAAGTTTTGTGATTTTTTTCTATTTTTACTATATATTTGCCGCCTTAGATTTGGCAAGACTTGGAGACGGGCGAATCGAACAAACAACTTGCATGAGTCAAAAGGACTGATATAATTATATAGAGACTTTAGATATAGTTTATGTTACTTTAATGAGATATCCACAAACTTGAAAATTTTTATCGATAAGTGGTAGATCAAAGAGAATATTTCCTTTTAATAATAGTATATAAAATGTAGCTGTATAGTAATTTATAGTATGTTGTAAGGGGTATTTTATTTAGCTTGTCTTATGGTCAACAAACAAGAGCTTGTTTTATTAGCTTATATTACGACTAAAATTATTTATTTAATGAAGTAGTAGAAAAATCAGGAATAATAAATATTTAAAGTCTACAGCACGAACCTTTTTTCAGGCGCTACCATTGAGATATGATCAAGTATAAATTTTTTTGTGAAAATGAAATACTAATTTTGAATAGGAAAGTAAAAAAAAATTTTATTCAAAGTAGTACTTATTGCTTTTTACACACTTTGATCATATTTCTGGAAATTATGGATACCATGCCAATAGAAATGTTCGTTTTTGAGACAAACCAATCAGACACCCAATTTTCGACTCCTGCGTAGGAATGAGTGAGTATTACTCAGCCAATGCGTGTCCCATAAATAAGAACAAATGATAATCGGAAGGGGCCAAGTCTGGTTAATACGGCGGATGGGGTAGCAGGTCCCAGCCAAGTACTTTTATTGTATCTTGAATAGATATTTTTTGGTGTGCAGGTGCATTGTTGTGTAACAAAATTACTTTGCCGTGTCGTCTGCCCCATACTGGTAATTTTTCGATCAATGCATGGTTCCAATTGATCATTTGTTGTCTGTAGCGGTGGGTATTAACAGTTTTACCAAGTTTTAGAAGCTCATGACACACCACACCCTTCTGATTCCACCAAGCGCAGAGCATGGCCTTCTTACCGAATCGATCTGTTTTTGCAGTCGATGTTGATAATTGTCCCAGATTAACCCATGATTTTTTCCGTTAAGGATTCTCAAAAGAAATTCATTCTTCATCTCCAGTGACAATTCGGTGCAAAAATTATTTTCTTTCGTGTCTTTGTAGCAAAAGTGTTTTTCGGTTTTCCATTATTTTTCATGTGGCACCCATTTTCCACACTTTTGGATTTTTTCCATAGCTTTCAAACGGTCTGATAGTGTTTGTTGTGCAACATTTAACATGGCTGCCAATTACTTTCGACTTAAAGTACCACCTTCATCCAATATTGCTTGCAGTTCAGCGTGTTCAAACTTTTTTTGGTGGTCTTCCATGTTCTTAATTTCTCACATCAAAATCATTATCTCTGAACCGTTGCGACCATCTTTTGCCTGTTGCTTCTGATAGAGCATGATCACTATATGCCTCGATAAGCATTCGATGCGACTCTGCAACACTTTTCTTCAAATGGAAACAAAAAATTAATGCTTTCCTAAAATACTCACTTTCCGGTGCAAAATTTGACATTTTCAACACAATGAAACAGAAAAAAAATTAAGACTCGTTCACAACAAATGTTCCGTACCAACACATTTGTATTATATCATAACGCTCACTTCATACCGGTACACCGGTATTTATAATTTTATATTATTATTTTGTACTGCAATATATTCATAAATATATTATAATATACTTGTATGTGCATACGAGTAATAATATTAGTCAGTCGTTATTCTTGTAGTTGTTGCCTGTTAATTTATATGTTTCTTTTTCGTATTATTGCCACACATAACCTCAATGTTCTTAAAATACCCAGTTGTTGGTGTATAATAATTGTTGTTTGTTGACTTTATTGGTTTTTTAAGTTTGTAGTGTAGCGAATTTATTTAGTTAAAGAAATTAACCTAAAAACTTAAATGTAAAGTTTCAAATTATATTGCTTCATAAATTTGCAAATAAACTTTATGCTTAAAAACAAAACCGAAAATGCTTTTTACTTACTTGCTTTGCTTTGGAATCGTGCGTGCTTGCCATTTTCACCTTTTTACAAAACTATTCGCAAAAAATGTAATGCATTTCCAACTTAAAGGAATCAACTGAGGATTCGCGTTATAATCTCTTCGCTATGTATCAGAAATTTGCTAAGCCACCATTCGACCTAACGGACATCAGCAAATTCAAGTAAGTATATTATATCGTTATTATGTATATATTATATTTATTCATATTATACATATATGAATTTATTCTATTATATATTATATGCAAAATTTCAAAATTTTTCTTCACAGTCTCAGTAAGAGCGAATATGATGACAACGATAATGACTCACGGCTCTCCTTCAGCAATTCCAGCTCACCTTCGATGCCAGTAAGTATTTATAGTATACCATTATCTTTGTTAAGAAATTCATGCACTTGGCTTACACAGTTTCCTATGAAACCACGAGACCAATACTCATGCGATATTATAATCTATCATAATTTTCTCCCTCCAAATTTTCAATATTCCTAACTTTACTAATTTACCTCTCGTTTTTCTTCTATACTTCTTTTTTTCACATTGTAGGCCAGTTCTCTCGATAATGAGCGCGACTTGCCCGAGGCGATTAAATTCAAGAGTTTAACCTCCTTTGCGCCCAATGTGATTTCCAGCACAGCTGTACACAGTGGCCAAGAGCTGTTGGACACTGCAAGTCACAATAAATCTTCCCCGAATCACCAGCAGCGCAATCAATTGAAAATCATGAGCTGTCCCACAACCGATGCAGCTGTTGGTATGCTAAGCAGTTCACCGCTTGGTGGGGTGCAAGTCATTTCAGCGGCCGGTGGACATATCATTGCGGTGGCAAATCCCGCTCTGGCGTTGAGTCCAACGCTTAATGAGGCGCTGAGTCTGAAGAGAGAGGCGAACACCCCAGAAATGTAAATATTATATAAAGGAAAAGGAGCTGTTAGCAAGCGAGAACGAGATAGAGATAGAGAGTGGAAAAAATGAAGTGTATTTTTCGCTTGAAATGGTTATCTAGATGTAATTAGTTGTTATGAAATGAATGAAAAAAACACACAAACCAGAATGAAAAACTACTATTATGAAATCGTGCAATTCTTTTAGATTTAGTAATTTATAATCTCTCATTTAAATATACTAATTTAAGAAATTATGTAATAATAACTTGCACTTTTTAAACTAACACGAAACACAATTGCATTTTAAAAAATAAAAAAAATAGCACTTGAAAAACATGTTAATTTTTTATTAAAGAAAAAATATAACTCAACATAATTCTAACATTACTGTCCGAGAGTAGGGAAATTTATCTGTAGCCAAATTAAAAAATTTCCCTGAACAATTTTCTCACCACTTTTGCATTACAATTGTTGAACCGACCAATTATTCAGAATCCGTTTTCGGTCTTGCCTCGTACCATAAATGTTGTTTGCCTTTAGGCTTAATTTTTAATACTTGAAGTATGATATTTCTTTGTAGAATAAAACATTTCTTAAATTCTTTGGTATATATCCACCAATTTTATTTTTATTGCAATTATAAATCAATGCCTTCCGCACCACCTGCTTTCTCTTCAAACGCTCAACAAATTTTGACAAATTTGCAATGTAATTGAGACCGATATTATGCGTTGATAATTCCGTTAAGGTCAAGGAATTTGTTTATCTCGGAACCAGCAACAATCTAAAGCTGGAGATCAAGCGCAGAATCCTCTCTTGACGAATAAAAATTACGTTCTATAAGTCTCTTATTATTCCTTTCATATTATACGGCGCAAAAACATGGACGATGACAAACCGAGATGAGAAAGCATTTAACGCATTCGAGCGCACTGTTCTCCGTAAGGTCCTTGGCTCTACGATGGCATGGATATAGCGCTGGTTTGGTCATGTCGTACGCATGGTAACTCCTTTGATTCAAGAGCCATGGGTGGATAACGGAAGTAAAGGCGTCCATAATCCATTGGGAGGGCCAAGTGCATAGGAAACTGTCTGCACTTGGGATGTACAACTGGTGTGATCTCTTAAAGGATAAAGGCAACTGGTGGACTTTTGTGCTCTCTCCCCAGACCGAGCCACGTTTGTAGTGCTTTCCGAAAGTATTTGTATGTTACCAGCTGATGATATCAGAAGATATCTGCCGGTTGAGCAGACAAAATCGGAAATAACTTGACTCCTCTTAGTATTTTAAATTGGAAAGTAAAAAGACGACAGATGCATCATTTTGGAGTTGGAAGAAGTTATTCAATGAAAAAGAGGAAATAATAGTTATGGTGGAGGCAGGGCATGCCGACGATGCCCAGCAAGACTTCTGTGAGGTTTCAATCAAGATATGACGATCTCTTGCTTTCCTATTTAAAATATAATATTAAGTTAATGGTTAAAATGAAATAATCTGTTTACAAATTTTTTAGAACACAGATATTTGACAAGAAAATCTTTTCATAATAATAGAACGTTCACTGTACTTATTAAAATCTGAATTCTTCTTAACCTATAGAAAAAGTGACTCCACAAATTTTAATAAATACTGTACTGATTTAAGTAAAAATGCATATTAAAAATGAATATTAAATTGCTTGAATACGAATTGATTGATCGATTACACTGACGATCGTTCTTCTCCAAATATTGTCTCATTCAACTTATCTACCCTCTATTGTGTGCCAATCATTTTAATTGTTCACATTCATCTCTCAATGCACTCATAACTCCATTCGCTTGCTTTCCATTCTATTGCCATCTGAATGCCATTCAATTCTGCTCGATTACAATCGTAACACAATTAAGTATTGATGATATTTTGCCAACAATGATCGCAGTGATCAGCGATGATATCTTTATCGAAGGCAAATATTGATTCAGCATCCATTATCCCATTTACGATTGTCTGCCTTTGTGGCTGACTTACAAGCCTCTTTCTGCGGGCACACGAAGACCTCCATGTGCGAGCGCGCAGACGTGCTTGTTGACTTGCGACAACAACCCTATGCCGGCAACAATAGGAACAACGCAAAAGGAGATCGTATTGGCAAACTTCCCTCCACTCGCACACATATTTGCCATTCTCTGCTCTCATCAAATGTCAATAAATTTCGATAATAATAATATTTAGCAAACGAAAGTGGAAGTGTAGTCGGAAGCAGGGTATGCAAATATTGCAAATATTTAATATGCGGCAGTAAGTGTGTGTGTGTGCGAAGGGCTCGGAGATGATCGCACGCAATTGAAAATGCATTGTCACGTGTGCTTTGTTCACACGAGCATTCGCGTTGCAATCGTGCGTATTATTGCAAACTTACCTACGTACATAACATAGCCACTTAGGGGTGTGTTGTTTGCAAATACGTGTGTTTAGAAGTGTCTGTCCTCTTTACAAACCTCCTCGGTGTTGATATGTTAACTTTGCCCATCGGAATGCATTTTTCCTTTGATGTATGCAAATCATTTAATGCAAATGCGATTTTAAGTGTTGAATGCAGATAATTTGCATGTTAAGATATGCAAATCTTCACAATACTTGGCGAATTTTTGCGACCACCCATCGGCATACTTGAGTTATTGAATGTTTTGCTTTCGCTGATTTACAACTTCTTAATGAACTCTCCGATCTTCGAATTATCTGTGTGTATGTGAGTTCAAGTTGTGTGAGAAATCACGCTATGCTGCACATTAATACTTTCTTTCATGTGTGTGTGTATGTATTTTTTATATATTATCTTTATGTAAATACTCGCTTTAATCCTTTCGTTCCATTCTTACATAAGTCATATGTTCGCTTGTAGAAAAACCATTATCCCCTCCACCTAAATATGTAAAGACATGTTGTCTTGAAAAGCATTAGCGGCACACAGCTGTTACGAATTTAAATAACAAAATCAATTTGAAGAAAAGAAACTTATAAAGAAATCTGACACAACATCAACGGCATGTGGCACCGTTCTTATCAGCACTCTGACAGGCGGACCGTGAAAAGCGCGGGTGAAAGTAATTTCCATTATGAAAATGTAAGCATGCAATGCAGTCCATATACAAATGTGCTTGTGGCAGCTTAAGTCAACAATGCCATCGCGATCTGATTTAAAAAGGATAAGAAAACCATGAACGATTGTATTTTGGGGTAACCGAAAAGGGTTTGAAGTGTACAGGATCGCAACAGCTGGTAGCATAAATCACATAAATTTCTTAGTCATTATGAAGCAGTTACAAAATTTAAATCACCATTAAATTTGAAAAAAAATTACAGACTCCTAAAGAATTCAATATGATCTACTATATATACAACAACTGATTTTATTTTAATTTTAATTGGAAAGTGAGGTTAGTTTGGTTATGTTTCGTAGCGACCGAAAGATCACACTAGAACCATTACAATGTTGCTTATGATGCCAAAAAAATGAGAAACATCCAATTTTTTTTTTGGTTTTTAATCAGAATCGATGATTTGTACCAAATATTTCATTCGAAGTCACTTTTTGAAAATGGAAATTGCCGAAAATCCCTTGGCCTAACCGAAATATTGCGCAAAAAACAAAATATCTCAACCTTTATCTAAGACCACTAATTTATATCCTAATTTATCTTGTAGTGAATTTCAAAACAAATGAAGTTAATCCCGCAAATAGTTTCGGAAATATGAGCTCATTTGTAAGAATTCTTTAACTAGGTGTAATAGACCTCCAAAACTCGAATAGCATTTTCTCGAAACGCTGTTTTGAGAGTAGGCGAGAAAAATTTCTCCAAAACGGCTGGGCCGAGGAACTTTAAATTTCCACACGATCTTCTTAAATTTATGTTTTAGGCAATGATATAAGGAACACGATAATTTATAATTACATATATAGAGTTTAGCTGAAATGTAAATTTTTTCACAAAAATCGTCTTTTTTCTTTAAGAAACCCCCAATTTGTCAATAGTCAAAATTTTTACTAGTCCTTCTATCATTACCTGTATCCATTTATGGTAATACAACTTTTTTTTTTTTGCTTTTTGCATTTGACATACTTTTAAGCAGAAAATTCTTTCTCATCAGTATACACCTTTGGTCGGAGGTCCACCTGGAGATCGGCTAGGGGTCAAGGGAATCCTAAATTTTCCAACTTAAGTCGTTGATTATTGAAGTACATTAAATTCTATAAATTTGCATTATTTTTATTTATTTATAAAATAAACTGACTCTTCTAAGAAATTTTCCAAAATCGCATTTTTTCTTACTTGCAATTGGATGTACCATAACCCCAAAATTAGAATGCTGTCGATGTTTCTGCCATCCAATCGTTTTCAAGTAAGTGCTCTAAAAAAAATAGTTTTGTTCAAACTCTCTTTCACAGACCCAAAAAGTGGCTCGCTGAATAAAGATTTCACTCAAATGAGGCGTCAAGTTGGCAGCAACGCCTATTTTGAGGGTCATGAAGCTTTATTTTATCGAACCTTTATACGCATATTTGAACACCGTTATTACAAAGGCAATGCGCTAAAATGCGATTATGTCAAAGAGTAAAATCATATCTTTATTAAGAAAACGATTTTCCATTATCAAGGCTTAGAATATAAAGCTTTTTCTATAGCACCTAAAAATATAATGAAGAAAAAGCAAATATGGAAAAATACAAGGAAGATGAAACGATGATAAAACGGATCTTCTCGAACACGATCACAACGGTACATCATTTGACTATGTCCAGGCACAGAGCTTCTGTATGTAAGCCGAGCTAGAATTGTTAAAAAACGTCTTCTAACACACAAACTATAGGTCCAATAGGAATGATTCTAGAGACCTATATATAATATTTAAGCACAATCCATTAAGCCTACCACAAAAACAAATTAATTTTTCCACAGTTTTTTCTACAAATGCAACCATAAAAGTATGTATGTGTGTCTTAAAATTGTTTTCTTAAGACAGTGATGGATGAAGTACAAGTATGAAAAGAAGCTGACAATGATAACCCCTTGACAGACAAGCGGGTACCGACGAATGCGAACACTAATTTGCATATGCATAAACAGCGTTGCCGAGGGGAATGCAGAAGAATGCATGAACGGGATTAGATGCTACAAAAAGCTAGTCATGGGAACAAAGGGTGCGTAAGCAATTTAAAAAAAAAAACATTTTTATATTTTTTTTATAAAATTTAGTTGAATATAATATATCAAGAAAAACGAATGTTAATTTTTTTACAGTTCCCTAGCACCTTTTTAGCTAGGTATACCCTATATGATATAAAAAATGGCACCTCCTAAATATAAATATTATTTTATTGCAACTCCAAAGTCAGTAAATTGTTATTAATTACAGCTCTAAGTAGCAATTTTCGCTAAAATCCAATCCACAAAATACTGTACACTCATGTAAACGCCGGGAATTTCTGGACGCGCACAGCCCACACCGTACGAGACGACGCCAATCAGATAGAATTGTATGTTGCCACCAACGGTCTAAAAATAATAATAAAACAACAATAAATAAATTTGATGCAAGTAATTGAGTTATTTGGCTTACTTCCGGTATCATCAGCGGTCCACCAGAGTCGCCTTGGCAGGTATCCTTGCCGCCAGATAGCACGCCAGCGCATATCACGCCAGTGTCGAATTGATCGGCTGTTATTAAACGCTTCGCACGCTGATAACTGTCACGGCAAACTTCATTAGCGAGTACGGGTATTTGAAGCTCCTGCAGAACATTCGCAGCGGTGCCACCTTCCATGATTTTGCCCCATCCGGCTACGAAGGGTGTATAATTTAGATAGGATTTGCTACGCAACTGCTGTGAGCTGGGCAAGCAAATGGGTTTAATATTATCTACAGATAGAGATATTGTATATATAATTATTATATATATAGATATATAAGCAGTGTAGAAATAAAATTTTAGCTTGTTTGAGGAGATTAAACTTACCAATGAATTGTACGTTACGCTGCAGCCAGACTATACCGATATCATTACGTCCATTAGCGGTGTTATAATTCGGATGTCTTTCTTGCTATCGATCAAAGTAAGGAATAATAAAGCAATGAATTTGGGTATTCTTTATTTTATTTTGTTATTCACATTCGGTGCTTTTTTCATAATATTCTATAATGAAATTTCTGGTTAAAATGCGAGGAATGTTAAAAAAATAACAGGAATTTTCGTATTTTAAAAAAAATATTTTTTCATTTGGTTAAATTCCCCATTCGATATTGTGCTCTTATGCCAGAGTTTCTTCCAATCGTCGAAACACTTCTCAAACTCGATTTTTGGGATAGCCTTTAGCTCTTTCAACGATTTTCATCTATCTTATAAAACGACGGCCCTTTAAGGTTCTCTTTATTTTTGGAAATAGGAAAAATTCACACGGCGCCATGTCTGGCGAATATGAAGGCTGGGGTATTGTTATAGTATTATTTTTAGTCAAGAATTCAGGAACAAACAACGAAGTGTGAGCTTTCAACAAACGAAAATCGTCAAGCTCATAAAAACACTTTCTGCTACAGACATAGTAATCAATGAATACAGATGCAAATTTTTGTCGTACTTCAGGGGCATGCATATCAACATAATACAACTAATTTTGACAACTGGACTCTAAACGCGCGAAATTTTAAATTTAAAATTTTATTATCAGGACGTAGCGATTACCTATGATGTTTAAGCCCAATAAATGTTGCTAGAGTATAGTTATTATCGCTAAGCATATTACATAGATAATGGTAGTGGATCCTGGTATGGAAAAATTTTAACTTTATGTCTGTTTTCGGTTATAAGAGATTGCATTTCAAATTAGTTTTTATTGAAATTTTTGAATTTAATCACAATAATTAGCTTTTCGAATATATGAGGGTCGGAAGACAGTTATTAGGTACTAGATAGTATACATAAAATAAAAGTAATGATACTTACCTTCAAAACACTTATATCCTGATGCTGAGTTTCTGTATCAGTGCTCAAATCGTATTCACCAAGGCGTACGTAGCTTCTGAAACACATAAATGAAAACCAAAAAACCAAAAGCAGGTTATTAATGAGTAAAAATAATTACTTTTTATACAGTTCAAAGAAAAATTAGATAAAAAAACACAAAACTGCTTTCTTTAAATTTTCGTAGTCGCTAAAACAAATTCGCACATTAATCAATCATCTAAGTGAAAACCATGAATATGTAAATCCAAGTAAACAGCGCAATGACAACAAAAAATACTTAATATTTTTACTCATATGTACGGTTACTTTATTTTTGCAGGCTATTATTAACATTTCATTGAGTAATAATGATTAATTTGTTTTCGTTTTGTTAATATAACTCAGATCAAAGCTCTTTAATAGGTAAATACTATATATGTAGATGAGTGATTGTGAATGCTAGAAAAAAATACATCAACTCTGGCATACACATCTTAACTGTAATTCTTTGCTTCAAATATAAAGACAAAAATATAAATTTTAATAACTGAAAATTGTTTTTGTTAGGTTTCTTAGAAGAAATTTAAAACAAATCACGTCAAAGCTTTTTAATAAAGCTCTTCAGCAATTTATTGAAAAAGTAAGAACAAACATTTTTTTCATAATTGTAGAGACAGAAATTGAATATTATAGTGTTGGCATCAGTGAGATGGCAGGGGATATCAACATTGCTTATAAAACGACTCAACACCTATTGGTTAATGTTTTGTACAATATATGAAGCTTGTTAATGCTAGACTCTTACAAAGTGACCTGAATCTTTTGAAACAACGACGTCAGGTAGATATGCTTGACAACGTAACTGAGGACCCTAAATTGATCAAAGGCATCATTACTGGTGACGAGACGTAGGTTTGAAAATATGACAAAAATGAGCCGAAACCAAAATTCGTTGAAAGCACTGAAGGCCATCCCTGCCGAGGTTTATAAAAAGAGAATAGAAACTTGAGTTAAGCGTTGGCGTACTTGTAATAGCTCAGGATCCTATTTTTAAGGCGATATTAAAGATTTGTATTAAATACGTGAAAATGTAGCCAGTCCGGGTCAATTTTGATCATATCGTATGTTTCCCATATGTATAAAATCATTTTGAACTCACAAATCGTTTCGTATACAATGCGCCGCCGTTACAACATGTCGAGAGGACACTAAAGCACCGCCGCACTTAAATGGCGAGTTGGGAACCACATCGGGATAGGCTAACAAAGCCATCCATGGCCAATCACTTATGCGACTCGCTTTACCGCCAACAATCTTCTTAAACGAACGCACAACAACACCACAAGTAGACGCAGCGTTAACTTGACTAGGCGCTGGATTTGGTGCTGGTGCTGGCGCCGAACGTGAAGGCTGTGCACCTCCAGGGCAGCAGACGCTGTACGAACTACCGCCACAATTTCTATTCGAAACTCGTAAATATCGAACAAAACTGGGGTCCGTATAATGCTGATACAACTGTCCCAACAACACTTGGCAATCGTTGATTTCTGAAATAAATGGAAAGCATTGAAATTATTTCCTCATTTAGCTGTAGCTGCGCCTACCCAAACAAGCTCCTTCTGCATTGTCGGGGGTATTGCAGAATTGTCCAGCCCGAAAGCCCACAAACCCTGATGGAACTTGGCTATATTCATTCGCATCGAAAATGTTGCGAAAATCAATTCTTGGCTGTTGACGAACCCTTCGTTGTTGCTGCGGTTGCTGTTGTGGTTGTGGTGCAACAGATCGCCGCACTTGTTGCTTGTTTGGAGCAGGCACACGCCGACTTTGTTGCGTTTGAACTGCGAAAGGGCTGGTCGGTCGTTGGGACACCGCTTGTTGGCGTGGTCGCTGCTGTGATCGCGCGCAGCAAAACTACAAAAATTATTGTTTTTGATATTATTTATGTAACTGCAGAGAGTATTGTAGGAAGTACTAACCGATTTACTACCACACGTTTGTTGTGCAGCTGCCACATATTGCTTATTGCCCGCTTTTTGAGCATTCACTACCTGTGGACAAAAATTTAATGGAGAGCACTGGCCATGATAGTTGTCTGGAGTCACGCAGTTGTACTGAGCTAAAATAAAAACGAAAACACTTGACTGATATTTGTGATTTTCTACAAGTTAAAGTTGGAACAAAAATTGAGAATTTCTAGAACTAGTCCATCATTTAACTCAAAGTACTGAAGCAAAGTAAATACACCTAGGGGGAGTAATCCTAGGAGGATGCGAAAGAGCTTTAGATATAACTTGAGGAATATTCTCTATATGGATGGAATAAGGTCGGAACGTATTGAGTACACATGCTAAGTAACTTCTGTGTAAGAAAGTCATTTTTTCTAGAAAACGTATCCTGGAACATATCGGCTCGATTCCTTTACACTTTCAATAACCATGCAAGTTATTATGACCAAAATACATTAATCTATAGTCATTTCTTCCTTGTGGTGGTAACTTAAAACATCAGTGGAGGCAATATCCCTTGATAAGGAAATTATTTAAAAAGAAGTGCATTGGAGGAATTCGGGCATATCATAAAGATATTACGCCAATCCAAAAAAGAAATAAAATTATCCACTTTTTTGTTCTCAAATCGGCCACCTTGCATTAAGGGCAGCGAACATTAACGTAGACCTACATCACCCAGTTGCAATAGAACGAGATATACTTGATGACATGTTACATCGCCTCCTTGTACAATATTGTTTCCGAAGCAAGCCGGTCCGATCTAAAATTTTCATTTTGTTACTGTTATTACTGTTATCTTTTAAGACTATCTACTTATACATTCTTAGAATAATGTAGATATTTTGTGAATTATGTAATTGTTATTTAATGCAAAAAAATTCAGAAAACGATTCTTTAAAACTCTTCAATTATATTTTATTCTCATAAAGTAATTAAAAGTGTGTCAGCTTATGATTCAATTGAGTATTTCTTAATAAATGACATTACAACTGATATCTTTTAGCTCAAACTATATTTTACTATGTAATATATGATATATATCTATATATAAGATTTATAAGAGGAACTCGATTATTTATTCGATACTTTATTCTTGAAAAATATTGAAAGATTTCTAGGTTTTATTCTTTTATCTTATATAATACGAATATCAAAGAAATACTGAGCGTGTGTTGAAACCTCACATTATTTCTGGAATTGTGTCTTTCACCGTTGGATCAATCTTGCTTCTATAATGAAATTCCGTAAAATCATTAAAAGAGTGCACTATTGAAAAAAATCACGTGGTTCCAAAAGTAATTCAAAGATCTTAAGAATTTATTCCGCAAAATTAGTATTTTAATCAAATGGTGAAAATTGAAAATTTTGGAAAAGTGGCATGGGGAATTATATATGGAATAGCACTTTCGGAATGCTTATCTCTGGAAATTCTTGTAATATGCTTTACTGTAATAAAAGCTGATCGTATTACAAGAAACACCAATTTTATAACACTTAGTTATTGGAAGAGAACCACTTCACTGGAAAACCTTTAATTCAGTTCATTATAAAGAAAACCTTTAATGGGCGTAAAAAGTATGTGTATATGTATTAATTGCTGAATAAATGAAGCAGAACTTTTAAATGTAAGTATTTAGTTTAAACAGCGAATTAGCTAACAGCAAATAATGAAAACTATAATTATTACATACATATGTAGTATACATGTAACTGTGGTGAAGACTGAGGTTCCTAAAAATTAGCAGAAGTGTGTGATTCCAACAGCCTAACACGAGGAAAATGACTTCTGTGTTTGGCATTCGTCATCAATAACGTTCTACGTCAGTAACTAGTGACTGCGTCAACATATAGTATTATACATGTATTTAAAAACCATATTTACCAAATTTGGTACAAAACATTTTCTGGAGACCCTTCAACATGATTCAAACTAAAATAATTGAAATTGGAATACAAACACACCTACAACCCGCATTATACCATTTTGTGTTTTAATATGTTTTTCTAAGAGAATTATATATATTGTACATATATGCTCCTGTTAGACTTAGAAGAAGCAAAGGGTCATATTTCTAAGACATACATATCATAAATTTCGGCATTTATAAAACATAATATTTGCTATATTATACTCCAGTTGAATAATATGAGATCAAATTATGTACCCATATGAATCATGCTGTGCATAGTTCAGTGTTTTTGACTTTATTGGTTTTGTTTTTTACTTCTATTGGGAAATATATGGTCGAAAAGTGATGATCAGAATTTATACTTTGTACTCAACTTTCCGGATATATTCTGAGTTTTCTTTGAATTTACAGCAAAATCAGGTACGCAGTTTTATATGAGATCTGTGGATTTTTATTTATTTTTATTTACTATATATATTTATTTATATATTCAAAAATTATATATTAAGTTTTAGTTTACCTAAATTTTTATTTTTGGACCGAATTAAATTTTCTTATAAGGGCAAAGTCGGTTTATTTAACTGAAAACTAAAAACATATGGAAGCAAAGGATTTATGAGTCATTAAAAAATAATGAATTGATTAAATTTTCGGTAATACGACAAATTTCTCACTACTCAATAATAATAGACAATATTTATATACCGATCAGGGTATGTTAAGTTGGCCACGAACTTTCTAACACCTAGACAACTTCGGAGACCCCATAAAAAATGTATATATACATGATTAGCGTGGCGAGTTGAGTCAATTTAGCCATGTCCCTCTATCTCTCCACCCGTCTGTATATACAGAAACTAGTTTTTGATATATCGATCTGAAATTTTGCACACATCAGTCGACCAATGTCGACATTGATATCGGTCCACTATAGGATATAGCTACCAAACAAAATTATCGATTCCATGACAGTCGAGTCTTCGTAATCGGAACGGACTCGGATTTTTATCCGGCCGAGGACTGACCACTCGGCATAATTTTTCCGCTAAAATAGCAACAACAACATCGATCGAAATCAAGGCCTTGTATGGAAATCCTTTTTATTTAACCAGATATCTTTACGAAATTTGGCATGGATTACTGTCTAAGATAATGTTACAATCTATGTTTTACTTATGAAGTAGCCGTAATTTGAATTGAAAATTATTTATATCAACAATTTAGGTACATAGACCAATTGAGTTTTCAGATGTAGTTATACACACAGTTGCTATAAGAAATGCAGCTGTAAAGGGCATTATAGTTTCGGTGCAGCCGAAGTTAACTTTTTTCTTGTTTTAAAATAAAAATTCAAACAAAAAACAATATAATTAAAAAATGCAATGCTTTTAAATATGTGAATACGCAATAAATAGCAAGAAACAGTTACTAAAGTATACAAAAACTCTGTTGACAAATTACACAATCTTCCACCTCTTAAATATATTTGGCTTAATAAGCATATAATCAAGTTACAAAAGGTTTTATTAGCCATTTTATTAAACAGATTTAAATTAAGCTTTTGATATATTAAACTTGTTTCTAAATTAGCCAGCAAAAACATTTATTATGCAGATATTTTAACCGAGCTCTTATAATGTTTTATTAATTAACTTATTACATTATATTAATATTAAGAGCTAAATTTTTAATGCATACCTTTAATTATCAATATTTTTAGTGAGCACAGAATAAGTAACGATAAAATTGATTTCATTTTTTCACTTAAAAAACACAACAACTCTTTTTTTTTTAACTAATTCAAATTTTCAAGTTTTGAAGTTAAAAGATTTTTTTGGTTTTTTTCACTTTATGGATTTTTCAGCAACCACAATCATTACAGTCGACCAATGTCGACCAGAATATATTACAAAGAAAAAATATGTTTATAATCGAAGAATTTTATTTTCTCCGCACACAGTTTACTACGCGCTTTTATCGAGCCCTTTCGAACGTGTTCGCTTTGAATTCGCAACTGTTACCAAAAATGCAAATCAAAACTACGCGAAGCTATCAGCAACCTAAAAATTCATGCATATAGTACATACATATCATATACACCTGCATCAGTTTCAGATATTGAGCAATATTTTTACATTTATGTTTTGAAAACGAAATCTCAGCCGGTTTTCTTATATTATATGCTATTTGCCTTAAGTCAGAGGTGGTGATTCCCACAAACCACTGCTTTTTAATTACTCAAGGCAGTCTCTCAGCTCACTTTTGGAATGACTTACTCACACTCAAATAAAAGTTTTGCACCTGCGATGGTGATTAAACGCTTAATTGTAAATATTTATGCAGATGAGTTAACAATTATGTAGATATATTTATGTGGGTATATAGAGTATTGCTAATGTGAGTTATTCACTCTCTGCTCGCTGAAAAGTATGCAACGTTTGATCAATGCATTTAATAGAAAGTTATATAATATTTCACCAAAACCCACTTTCTCATGAAATACAATATACTGAAGATGTCTGACTTACTGGGCGATCCTCAGCAAATAGCACATTTGAATATTTGCGAAGATATAAACTGATTTCAACCATTTTTTGAAGATATATATATTCAATTATGGAGTTAAGCCAGTTTACAATTTTCAAAAAATCGGATTTTTTGGGCTGTTTATGTTTCTAAACACAAGAGTGTTAACAAATGCAGAGTTATATAGGTTTATTCAAGCAAAAAACGGCTTATTTTCAATATTTTTTTTCATATAAAAATTAAAAGTTTTTCAAATTTTTTATTATTTTATTATATTATTATTTTATTATTTATTTTATAAAGATTTTGTAAAAATTGCAAAGGAAAATATTCAAAATTCGGCCATTACGACGTCATTTCCGGAAAAAGGTCTTACAGGATCATCAAAAGTAATATATACTAGGCAGACGTTTTTACAAAAAAATGCAAATTTTGTTGAACATTTTGTGACTTCGTTTTGATAATTGAACAAAAAAATCTTCATTCATGATATTGCAAATTATATATCGAAGAACTGTAGTAGCTCGCGAAAAATCTTGACAACCGCCTTGGAAAACACAGTTTCGAGCCAAACACGCTTAAAATCTTAAGTGGCTATATACTTGACCTACTAGGAGACTATCAAACGTATCTATTTAAAATTTTTCGTTTTTGGTATTATTGTATTTTTTTCTATAAACATGATTTTTAATACTTTATCGGTCAGAAATGTATCCTTTTTTAAAAGTCTGTAATTTAAGTAAAAACCTAAAAACTTAAGTAAAGCTGAAAACTTAAGTACTTGACCCGCAAGTCTTAAGCAGATTAAGTTGCCGCCTTTGACTTTGTTTCAGATATCCCGAGTTCATAGAATCACAGTCGCCCGTCGATGTCCTCTTGAAAAAGTTCTTCCGAAGAATGACACAGTAGACCCAATTTCGTATCAAAAAGGCAATATCAATTTTTTTATACTCAAACACATGTTTGATAAACCTTGAAAGGGTTAAATTCGATTCCTTTTACCTTACTTCCAAATCAGTAAAATTAAGCCGAATTGTTAAGTATTTATTTCAAACTAACCCCTTATTTGTTAAATTTGGCTCAAAAATCGTTGCCTCGTGTTATCTCTTGCCAGAATTCGTTCTAAAAAAAACAAAATACGCTTCCAAGAAAGTACACTTTTTGGGTTTAAGCCTTTTTAAATTTATTTTTAAATTTTATAAATTTTTTTTTAATTAAAATTTAATACAATAAAATCGTTTTACCGTCCAATTTTACCGCTCCTAATGGTTTTCGTGATGCTTTGCTTGCTGCAAAAAAATAAATAGCTTAATTTCTAGAAATAAAAAAAAATTACAAAAGACTTAAGACACGAACTTGCCTAAAAATTTACACATCTATGCAACTTAAAAGTCTATAACTCTTTATTAATAGCTTTTATGTGCATTTAAAATATGCTTTAACTAAATTTTTTTTCGCTAAATCTTTCACGAATTCACTTTTCATTAATTTATACAAACTTTCATTAATAAAGTGATCACAACATCAGCAATTGCCCAACATGTTAATACACAAATAAAACTGCAACAAATTATTTTATTGCCTTAATTAAGCTGAGCCAACATTCTTAATATGCACTAACAATGCACAAAGCACAGCCCGTAGTCACCATTTTACAATTTTATTACAAATTTTGGAACGTGCTTGGCACACAAAGCAAGAAAATGAGAAAAGGCTGACAATATTTGCGTGTGCGCTTACCTCAAGATCCCAAAATATGATAAAGAGGTAATTTCAAGGTGAAATATTCGGTTGTTGCCATAAAGCCGCATTGAATATTAAATAGAAATTACTTCTAATTTTATTTTCGTAATTTTTTTTATTAAAAAAAGAAATCATATCACTTTTTAAGCGGTAAAAAAGCTGCAGACTTTGCTGTTGTTAATAATTAGAAATAAGTAATTTAAACATATTTAAAAAAAAAAGAGAATATCATGGTGTATCGGCAATCTTCTGCAATATCCAGTCGACATAATGCTGCACACTGGCGTAAACGCCGGGCACATCGGGACGCGCACAGCCAACACCATACGAGACCACACCGATCAAGTAATAGCGCACATTGTTGTTGTAAGTCTGCAAACAAGAACAAAAAAATATGAAAACATTTCTTATATATTTTTATTGTTTTTTTTTTCATTTTTCTATTTCAACTCACCTCCGGTATCATCAGTGGACCACCTGAGTCACCTTGGCACGTATCCTTGCCGCCTGATAGCACGCCAGCGCACAGCACACTATCATCGAATTGATCTTTGGACACTAGACGCTTGATGTTCTTGTAGCTACTTTCACAGACATGGTTCCCGAAGATCGGTATTTGCAGTTCCTGCAAGACATTCGACGAGACGCCACCCTCCATTGTCTTGCCCCAGCCCACGACAAAGGGTGTGAAAGAGGTGTAATTCTTTTGGCGTATCGCCGTTGCGGTGGGCAAGCAAATCGGTGAAATTGTTTCTCTGAATTTTACGTTGCGCTCTAGCCACAGCACCGCCACATCGTTCTTGCCATTGCGATTGTTATACTGCGGATGGGCTTCTTTCTGTTCGTGAAAGGAATTAAGGTTTGATTTAGGTAAAACTGCAATATTATTGCCAACACCCACACACTTACCCGCACAATGTTCACATCCTCATGGCGTGTCTCAGTGTCGGTGCTCAGGTCGTGTTCACCCAAACGTACATAAGCGCTACATGAAAACAACAACATATTAAAGAGAACTACTAAATACAAATCAATTGTAATTTCACCACTTACAGATCACTACGTATGCAATGGGCTGCTGTGACGACGTGCCGCGCCGTCACCAAGGTGCCACCACACTTGAATGGTGAGCTCGATGAGCCGTCAGTATAGGCCAAGAGCACAGCCCATGGCCAAGCGCCCTTCTTGCTCACTTCGCCGCCAACAATTTTCTTGTAGGTGTTATGCGTGTAGCCGCAACCCTCTTCCAATGTGGGTGGACGTGTAGGTATTTCATCGCGGTTGACCACTGTGACCGACGGGTCTGTAATAACATTATCGCTGGTTGGACAACATGCCACGGAACGAACACCACCACAATTGCGATTGGATGCGCGTAGGAAATCGACAAACTCGGGGTCATTCGATTTGGCGTAAAGCTCGGTAACCAGTTGGGTGCACTTAGCAATGGCTGTAAAAGAAAACGCGTTATATTTTACGACTTCTTTTAGTGCTCCTGGTAAGGTATATAAAACGATAGTTAGTTTATCTACTTACCAACACAAACGCCGCGTCTTAGTTTCGGATCCACGCATGTGTCGCCTGTCAAACGTTCGCCGATTTCAACAGGTGGACTTGTATTGCTTAGAGCGGGCGCTGTTGTGGGACGAGTCGTTGTGGAAGAGAGCTGACCTTGATTTGGCGGTGGTCTCGGTTGAATTATGACTGGTGACGATGTGGTTGGCGGCAAGAAGGGATTAGTTGGACTTTCAGTGGTGGGCTGTGGACGTATTTGTGGTGCAGGTTGTGGTTGCGGTTGCGGTCTTGACTGTGGTAATGGTTGTGGTCGTACTTGAGGCTGTGGTAGTGGTCGTGGCTGTGGTTGCGGTTGCGGTTGCGGCTGGGGCGCTGGATTTACTGGTCGTGAACAGCAAACCTAAATAATTTCAGTTTTGAAAATCATTTTAAAATTTCCACTTTGTTTAAATTGCTATTATTTAACTTACCACTGGATCACCGTTGACACTTCGTGTACCGCACGAGCGTTGTGAGGTTATAACATAGCGTTCGGCTTGATTGCGATTGCGGATATTGAAAACGTTCGCTATTTGTGGACAGTATTGTAATAGCACGCAGTAACCATAATAATTTTCTGGCGTCACGCAGTTGTATTGGGCTGAAAGTTGGAGCGAAGATAAAAAATTCAAATATCAATGTGTAATTAATACATTTAATGAATCATATATTTCGTTTCGTTTTTTTATTAAATTTAAAAGTAAAGTATAGAGATACTGAGATCTATTTGAATAATAAATACAAATTTTTACAAAAACAAATTAACAAGATGCATCGAAATCTCGAAACAGACAGAAAAATTGAGCGGTAAGGTGAACTTATTTTTTGGTTCGTAAATTAAGCACGGAACGAGAATAAAGTCGTAAATAAAATTATGTAAAGGAATTAGGCCGTTTTATACCTTTTTGACTGAAAAATAGCAGTTAATTGATTATATATAAAGTATCAATCGCTCGTAAATCATACTGCTGCGGAGCTATAGCTAACATTTCAAGTGAATACGTGAGATAGTCTCCAAGCACCATCGTCGCCTTATTTGTAAAATGCAGTTTCCAGAGCTGACCGACAAAAAAGCTTTAACACACCAACGAATTTAACTGGAAAACTACTTTTTTCTCTATTATACCAATTGAGAAATGTTTTTAAGACCCTAAAATAAACTTTAAGCCAACAGATCGATACTTTGAAAATCCGAGAATGGGCTACGTTTACTATTATAAATTTAATTAAATCTAGAAAATAACAACTATATTTTTAGTGCTCAATTATATTAAATCGTTGAAACTAAATGAAATATTGTAATTTATTAATATTTTTTCCTATTTATACAAAACTATTCTAGATTCTAAGTTTAAAACTAGTGTTTTTTAAACTAATCATCGAAATCATTCAGGAATCGCTAGTTAACTTTTTAAATTTTTAGAGCTTTTAGATATTCACATACGTATATAAGCACAATTCTATTTGAGAAGAATTTTTAGTCTTCAATTATTGTCTCAACTCACGCAAACTCAGTTTATTTAGTGTGCGAGCGCTGTATATTGATGAACAGTTATTTATTTAGACATGCTTATTTCATTTGACACGTGCTGAGGAGCGAGAACAGCGTCATCAAAACAAATAAAGCGAACTAATTTCTAAGCAAAGTGGAATGAAAACTTTTGTAATCTTCATTAGTGGTTCATTATTACTTTTAATTTTTTTTCTATAATTTTTCATATTTCACATTCACTGTCATGGCTGTTGATCATATTATCGTAATTGATCGAGTTTTTTGTGTTTACATTTAATTAAATTTATTTTTTTATTTTTTATTTTTTTGCAAGCTCCAAAATCGTAACCTTGAAGTCGGCTACCTGTCCATTAACTGGTTTACTGAACTTGCATACAAAATACTCCATACAAATTTTAAAATGACGCGCACAGCAACTAAATAAGTGTATTTACATATATATATATACAACAATATATAATAATGATGAGCTGGTATTTTTTTGAAGCAGCTCTCAGGCTAAAAGAATGAATTGTAATCTTACAAGGCGAAGTTGCAGCAGTGAAAGGCACTTCGTATGTTCTGTCTAAAAAGATTGCACGCAGTTGCTTTGAGAATACAGTTATCTAACTTGACAGATGGTTATTAAAATATAAAGTCATTGTCTGTATTTTTCCAGAGTATTAATTATGGTATGTTAGGGCGTGTTAAAACTTATTAACTTGGCCTTGTAACATGTAATTCCTTCTTCACTAATGATTTCTTAACTGTGAAAGCCACAAAATATTTAAAAGTAAAAGGATAAAACATGATTTTAAAAACATTTTGAGCTCTCTTTATACATTTTTGAAACTAATTGGAAATAGTTGCTTTGAAAATGGGTTTTTAGTTTTTATTTTATATTTTGTCATAGTTACATGTCTTCTGAAATCAACAAATGATAAGTTTTAATTATAAGCAAAAAGTTCAATAATCATCCAATCCATCTGGCTGAAAAATCTCGACCAAATATATGTGCATGTATATGTCCAGTTGATAATGAACTGAACGACTTCATTTCCATAAAGAAATGTCACCCATTTACCGTCCATAATATAGCAAAGACAAACAAATTTTGGCTTGCCGGCCAAAAATTAATCAAGCCAATTTTTGATCAAGAAAAGTTCCTTCCTAGTCCCTGTTTTCCAATAGTTTTAACCGATTTTACAACATGAGACCGAGCGTAGTAATGATGGAAACATACTGTCTCGTGCCTAGTCGCGATTTCCGCGTGTTTTTCAGCAATCGTTCACTTTGATGAGTTGTTGTCGTTAGCGTTCCTCTTTAATGGTCTTTGAACATCTCTTGGCTTCAATTTATTATATATGGCACCTAATTTCCTTGCTGAGTTCATCGAGCAATGTTTTCAATTTCTCTTCTTCAAACTTTTTTCACCGCCAAGACGTTGTTCACAATACACTTTTACAAAAATACGATGACTTCCGGTTGAGGTTTTCTTCACATTAAAGTAATGAAGAAGAATTTACCGGAAAATCTTTTTTTAGGCACAAAATTATTTCGAATTTGAGTGAAAAAAATTATTGTTGATTTCATTTCAAATGTATAACAAATAAGACGCACAAGGACAGTAGTTCGGAATATTGGAACAATGAAATAATAATCACGTTACGCCATCTCTGGGGAAACCGCACAAATATAGTTATAGCAGCAATATAAAATTTGTACTTTTTTCGAATAACCGATTTGATCCCCTGTCGGTGTTTTAAAAAATATTCTTGGATCACAATTTCGAACTTCTGCTGATAGCTTCAAATATTTCATACGACTTTAAAATTTTAGCTTTAAAATCTGAGAGTATCTAAGTAATGTTAACTTAGTTTTATTTTGAAATTTTCTTAGCGTATAATCTCGAATTAGAGTTATTTAATCTTATTTAGAGTTCTTCATAAATATTTATTTCACTATCAATGGCTTCAGTTCCTTTGGCACATAATCTCTACGATATTTTTATTGCGAATTTATTTTGCTGTAAAGACTCACTCAAATATTTACAAAATTACATGTTCTGCTAATTGTTGATGTACTTTTTTTTAAATAAATATTTTCACACACTATTATTAACTTTTCGCAAGACGAGAAATTAATGCTTATTCACTTATTCGTTTGTTCAGTTACATTTCCTTGTGAAAAACCTACCTTGCGAGAGCACAGCGTGAGGCAGCACAGCAAAGGCGAATATTAGTAACGGAATAAATGCCTTCATTTTAAATTTTGAATATATTAAACTTGAATCTAAGTGGTATGTATTCTATTATTCAGCGAAAAAATATTATAATATTATTTTTACAATTAATTATAAACACTTGGGCATAACAATTGCAATTAGTTTGGTTTGCTTCAAGTATTTATTCACAACATCACTTAGTCACAATATGGCACACATATATTGTATATTTCCCCTAGGTCACTTTATAGGCATTAGGCCGAGTAGCGCGTGCTATTCGTTGCGAACGCGTTTAAATCAGAACTGTTTCCGAAAAAGTCGCGTACGAATTTTCACAAAGACAGCAGTTGAATTTTCTACGTTTTGACGGATCTTTTTTAACTCAAACCGTTCGCCAGCATTCGCATAAACAAACTAACAGCCGGTTTATATTTGCAATACACTTATGAATCTCAAGTTAGTACCAGTGTAGTAGCTAGTAAGCAGTAGCGGGTTGAACGCAAAATGAGCAATTAAGAGTGTGAGAAAAGTTGTGTGCCTGTATGTGTATTAGGGGCGTATAAAACATATTTGAACAATTAAGAAAGGGCTTAGTTCGGCTGTCCCCGAACATTTTATACTCTTGCAACTTGCAAGGCTGAAAGTCGTGGTAATACCTTCAGTTGTTAGTAAAAACTTCATATTAAAAAATGTTGCGAAAGAATTAAACATCGATTATTCGATAAAATCGTAATCTTCTTCTTGACTTATATTAAAGGCCATAAACTTAGACTTAGTTTTATTGCTATATTTTAGTTCGCATCAGCTAAAATTATATTTAAAACATCTTCAAATGAGATATTACATGCATGATATTAACTCGACCGAAAACGCTAAATTTAGTTGATTTGAAAAATATCAACCAGGCGGTCGGAAATCATTATATCAACGATATGAAGTTTAGACCAATGTATAACCTTTCCAATTCCATTCTAATTCAGCGCTAAACCACGTAATTTTTAAGAAAACTTGTCCATTTAGTTAAACACGCTTTATCAATTTCATTGAGATAACTCACATATTGGCCGATATATGCAGTATAAAGTCATCCGGAAGTTCGAAAATCTTTATATTAGGTATAGGGAGGCTAAGGGAAGTATTTACCCGATTCACATTTTTGACATACTACTATCAGGAAAGAACCCTCTCTGAATTACCCCGATACATTCATTGGTGCTTGATTTTAATACTAGAAAGTGAAATAATTAGATGAAATTTAAAATTGTGTTATATGGGAAGTAGGCGTGGTTGTCGTCCGATTTCGCCCATTGATACTGTAATAAATATATGGATAGATGGGCGGTACTACGCCCATCGTCCAATTTTTACAGTGTTCTTATTTTTTTGCCAAGGAACACGTGATACGATATCTCAATTTTTACTCAAGTTATAGCTTGCACGGACGGACATACAGTCACCCGGATTTCAACTCGTCTCTTCACCCTGATCATTTATATATATAATACATAACCCTATATCTATCTCGATTAGTTTGAGATGACACAAACAACCGTTAGGCTAACAACACTATAATAATCTGTAGCAACATGTTACAGGACTATAAAAATTGTAAAAGTATTGCAGATTTAACATACTACCAGGTTAAGTCAGAGCTCAAACTAATTTCTATATTGTCAACAGGTGGCGCTGTCAGAACGTACTTGACCGGCACTCTATTAACCGCTACAGTCGCTGTTCGTTTTATTATTTCAGTTATTATGCAGTTATAAACAAAGGATATTTTGAAAATTAATGTATTTGAATTCAAAAATAACAGTATTGTATATTATTTAATATTTTTGGTTTATGACTCATTTTGGTTTGGTACTTCGCTATGCCATATTGCAAAATCGCCTAGCTATAGGCAACGTCTACTCACTTATCATATCCATGTTTCAAAAATTGTATATTGTTTCAATTTCATCGATTACGCTTTATTACATTTATTCAAATTACTGACCACATTGTTTATTTATAAGAAACTTAGGATTTTAAATGACATTACTTGCTGCTGCTTGAAAATAATATTCAAAAATTTTAAATGTAGTGCAACATACTAGCATAAATGTAATGTATGTTAAAAAAAAAGTAATAATAATGTTTACACTTTCACTAAAAACGACATTTTAAGTCGAGAAAATTTAAAAACATCAAATTTCGTGATTTAGTTTGGTCGTCAATTTTTATATATCTCAGTAGGCTTCCTCCTATTACATGTGCCCTATCATTTGAAAATTCCTTTGACTGATTACCAAAGCTCTTCAAAAATTCATCAGCCATGTTCCGAATTTAAAATTAGTGAAATTGGTTTCGAAGTAGCGGGTGACTGACGCATTTTGATGATATATTGTTATTAACATTAAATTCGCAATAAATTATTATGATTCTCAATCAAAAATATATCGGTAATTTAAAACAATATCAGCAATTTGGATCACCCTAATATTTTCCATGTATCTACATATCATATACTCACACACACGCATATCCACAATGAATGACAACTTTATTAAGGTATAGCAATTAATACAGCCTTTGGCATGTACTTTACCTAAAAGCCCAGTTTAGCGGGAAAAAATTTAAATTACTCTTCGAATATGCATAGCCAATATTCTTAATCGCAGAGAGTTAGACACAAACAATCTCCCTTCACACTTTATGTATGTATTAACACGAAAAAATTACTAACTAAAATTTACGTTACATTCAAAATATTCAGTTTTCTAGTTATACTCATTTTTGGGAGCGTAAAAATCGTGCTAAAAATGCTCCACTCGCAAATTTTAGAAGAGCGCAATCGCTATGAAGATAGCAATATCCATATATATGTATGTATATATGTAAGTAAGTACGCGCCAACAGAAGACTGAGGAAGCGAACTTATACTGTTAAATCATGAGAGTATTTTCAAAAGTGATCGCAGTAATTACAGTTATTAATATACAGATATCTAAGAATATTTAATTTACTATATTTCTCTGCCATTAAAAATTTTGTTTTACAAATAACAAATTTATATAGGCTTGTGTGTTGCTAAGTAATAACTATGTACATATGTATGTAAATATGTAAACATTGATCTACTTTCATATGATATTCAGCTTCCTAGGCAATTCTGTAGAAAGTTGTTATAACACATACACACATATTCCTTACATACATACATATATACATGCATACCATATTTTCAGGCATTCTCGCTAAAATATGAGAAATACAAAATTATTTCATAAATTTAGACACTTAAAATTCTTCGGACATTACACAGGATATTACAATAAAAAAATGTTGTTGGCGTGTCCGGCATACGAATTATGAGCCATGTGTCATCATTTGGATTAGCCGTGCGCGGTTGCTGCATAGCAAAATGCTCGAATTGCAAGTAGCTACACTAGCAACAACAACAACGCTGTCAGCATACTTAATGTCAACTCTGTGCTGCAGTTACACTTTAGTTTTAATTATTTTATTAAGTTTTTTCGACAGACTGGCGTCTAGTTCACGCGGATATTCCAAATTATAAACGGATTTGCGCTTCAAGGTGGTTTAGTTTATGTGCTTTTTGTTTTCCTTCATATAATTCCGTATTGTTTTTGTTATTCATTGCTTTGATATTGCGTGTACACACAATTTTCAAGAATTCTAAGTGAGTCATTATGTGATTGAAATTTCGAAAGTGAAGCATATGACAAAACTTCAAATGAGTGTGATTTTATGTAGCACATATTTCAAGAATACGTTTATTAACACATTTTGGGTTTTACTTGGCTTATTAAGTAATTAATTAGCTATAGTTTGTTTTTAATTGAAAATATTCTTTTTCTTTTATTGAGTAAAGCGTTTTGCGCTACTGTTCAGCTTTTGAGCCCATAAAATTTGCTGGGGAAGAGAGAAGGGCGTATGGAAAGCAACACATCTTTCGCCTAATTTTAAAAGCTTCTTCTTGTAGCAATAATTAAGCCTGAGTGTACTTTTCCGTTCAATAAAAATCATTCCTCGTTTGGATTTGGCTTAAATGTTGTAGCTTCCTCAATTTTTGAAAATCATAAAGGCGCTAAATTGGAGAAAACCTTGGGTAAGCATCCATCAAATCAATCAATCATGGTCTAAGTGAAAATTATATACATACATGAAACATAGATATATATATTTTTTACCTTATCATTAAGTAAATGATTATAACATCCAGCGAGGTAAACTTTCTTTCCATAACATCATTCCAACACAGAAGAGGGCTAATTTTTCTTTCCCCCCCTAACGCTTACATCTTTTACAGCTAGATATCTATTTCGACGATGTGTAACAGTGTCTATTTGGTTCACCGAGAGACTTTTACTTCTCAATCCTTTACACAGTTCAAGGATATAATTTTACGGCTATCAACAGCGACATCTACATCAAGCCAAAAGCGCATCAGACTCACTTGCTGTCAGTAGACAATAATTAACCTGCGTGAACCAAAGCCCGCGCAATGATATAGGGCAATCTAGTTCTGTCACAAAAGCTGTAGCGCGAAAAGATAATGATAACTAAAGGTTTACGGAACATGGATTGGTTATGACGAAATTAAAAGCATCAACCAAATGACAATTAAGAACAAGAAGAAATAGTACAACAAAAAAATCACTTATAAGGCTTGAAAATTCATCTGCTATACCGACGTAGAATCGTATAAATATAGTAATCGGGGGGATTACAAATGTTTCCGATAATTTACAAGCAATCACTTGACTAAAATAAAACATAAAAACGCCCAAATACGCAAAAATGAAGAGGAAACAAGTTCAGTTTAGCCGGCCTTACATATCGCAACCGCAAACTCGCTCGCTTCCAATTAAGCTCTCAAAGCGATACCGCCTTATATTCAAATATTTACACGTTTTCATCTTCTGTGATAAGAGCATTCCATTCTACTCTGCATTTAATGCTAAGGCAGCCAGTTTGTGATGCTAACAAGTTATTACAACTTATTTAACCGCAAAACCGGCCTGTTCAATAAAATCACTTAGTTAGCAACAACAAGCCGTACATTAAAGTATTTGAACTTGTATTTAATGCGCATACTAAGGTGTTTAGTAGATTTTGTTGGTTTTGTTATGAGAACTACGCCTTCATATCAACAAACCAAACACTCGTTTGCTTTTGCTGATATTTCATTTTTGTTTTCGTGCTTATACTCGTACTTATTCAAATGCTTATGTCTACTTGTTTTGGAGTAATGACCTATGAATAAATAGACGACCTATTAAATTCTAAGTGGTTCCACAATAACATGTGAGCATGGCTGGACGTGACACAGAAAGGAATCAGATAATGTGGTTTTAAGTAAGGTTCACGAATTGTGCTATATTAATTTACTTAATATTTACTCCGAAAACCGAAAAGTATAAATATTTGTGCCTTAACCGTACTGATGCATTTCTTCTCATGTGATTTGATATTTTAGAAACCAAAAGTTCATGAAAAGATCATTGCTCGACAAAGAATCAATTGACCTATTGCGTCTATAACTATATATGTATGTCCAAGTGATGGCGTAACTTGATTGTTATTTCATTTTCTCAATATTTCGCAATTGAATTAGAAAGCTAATATACTTTTCGCGCCTTTTTTCGCTTATGTCATTCATTTGAAGTACAAACAACAAAAAAAAATTTCACTCAAATATGACGAGCTTTGTGAAAGTAAAAAAGTGTTTTTGCGGGGAGTTCTTTTCATTACTTTAATATGAAGAAAAGCTTAGTCGGAAGTCAGCGTATTTAAGTGGAAATTTATGGTGTTCTAGCAGAACGAAAGTACCAAAAATGGTTTGCACGATTTAAAAGTGGCTATTTCGTCCTGGGCGACTTACTCAATGAAGATTGTTGCCAAATACAAAATAAGCTGCCAAAACCGTTGGAAGTCACTAAAGCCATCATTTCAAAACGTTTAAAAGCAACCGAATACAATCAAAAGCATGGAAATTGGATGCCACATAAATTGAAGGCAAGAGACGTTGAAAGACGATTTGGGATTTCAAAAATGCTGTTTGAACACTATAAAATAAATTGTTTATGCATCGGATTGTGCGATTGGAAAACCTTAAACGCAAAAGGTCATATCGAAAACCTGACCAACCAGCGAAATCAACGGCAAAGCCGAATATCCATGACGCCAAGATATGGCTCTGTATTTGGTGGGATCAGAAGGACGTGCTGTGTGTTATAAGCTACTAAATCCAGATGAAACCATTAATGTTGAACGCTACCGACAACAACTCATCGAATTCGAGGAAGCGATTGCCGAAAAATGCCCGAAATTTCCAACTTGATATGAGGCAATAATTTTCCACGAAGATAACGCTCGGCCTCATGTCGCAACACCGGTTAAGTACTATGTGGAAAACAGTGGCTGGGAAGTTTTGCCTTACCCGCCTTATGGCCCAAACCTTGCCCCTTCTAACAACTATTGGTTCCGCTCGCATCGCTAATGGCATTACGGTGATATTTATTGAAAGTTGAGAGTTTGGAACTCCAGATTTTTGAGACAAGCTTCCATCTTAATTATGTTTCTTCCATATCACTGCTTTAGAGATGTTATTAAGAATGTAAAACTGGTGTGTAGCACCATACGATATCTGTTTTGAACTTAACCGAACTAAAAGGAGCATTGCTCTTTGCCATGGTTGAAACTTTTTACCACGAATATGTTAGTCATTCATATGTCCATGATATTTGGCAATATGCGCATATTTTTTAGTTTTTTTTTTTTGTATTTAACTCTTCAAAATTTAAAATTTTAATTTCATTTGTTGTTATTGCCTGCATGCCATTTTACAAATTTTGGCAAAACCCTCGATGACGTAATCACATAAGAGCACATAAATACATATATACGATTACATACAAAAGCATGAATATGTTTATATGCTGTTGCTACAGAAAAAGTCGCGGATAAGTTGACGTATGTATGTGCATTTTTAATAAGAAATACATACAGACGCATAAGTTAGGTTACTCGCACATTTGCACTTGATAACAAATTCAAGTTCAAACCGCACACCAGCAATTTGTATAGTATCCGTTAATCATTGACAGTTTAGATTTCACCTTATTGATATAGATTGATATAGATATTCACATTTTTAATGAATTCATGCACAAAAATGGCATTATCATTGTTTTGATAGCAAATGTTTTAATTGTTGGTGTTCACATATTGAAACGTGTTTCGGCTTCTAGGTAACGATTTCGTTTAGAATTCGAAAACTAGCATTAACACATTCTTAATGAAATTCGGCACACATATTCCTTATCACTCTGGAATATTTGCATTGTAGAGAAGCGAAATTGGACTATTGCCACGCCCAAAACGTCTTTCACTAGTATCTCATAGACAATTTAATTCATTAAATTTAAGTTTTAACGCATCATATTTCAAAATCGGTGAAATCGCTTCACTACAATAAATACTTATTTTATTGGAATTTACATTAAATAACTCATATTTTAAAAAAGGTATCGAAACGAAACTTAAAACATATAACGCTCTTAAAAGGACAAAAATTATCTTCAAGAAATTTGTAAAATTTCTCTATACGAGTAGTATACCGTAACCGCCATAACATTCAATGTAATGAGATAACGGATGAGAGCGACTCAACACTCTCCCTCCTCCCTGCTTCTAGTTACATAGGCTCATTATAATATTTCCCGTCTCACCTTTTGACTTTAATACTCTGCTCGCTATCTTTGCGCGCCTCTTTCTCACTTCAAAAAACATACATGTAAAGGCGACAACAAAGTTTTCAAGTTGACTTTTATACAAGAAAGTTTCCGGATACCTCATTTAAGTGATATAACTCTATCTTTAATTCCACCTAGTTTTGATTTACATATTTCAGACCAGTTTTAGTATTTTGAACGACTCAAATGGCAAATTGCTATCAAAACTGAAAATACAAATATTTCTTTTACTGATTTTAAAAACTTATGGTTGGAATTAAATAGATCATAATCGTTTATAGAAATCGTAAGAGAGAAATTGTGCAGAGAGTAATATTTCCCCCCCATTAACTGAATTGCAACCAATTGTGTTAGAACAACTGGTATTGTTTGTTCGATTCGCTGCTCTCCAATATTTGACGAGACTGAGAATGGTTCAATTAGCGTAATTTAATTTAAGTTAGTTTTTTTTAATGAAAAATATTTATTTATTCTAAATAAAATAAAACATAACTTAAACTAAGTGTGCAGTTGCGTTAAAGAGGAAATACTTTCCTGAGGTATATGTGTAATACACTATATAAGTGCATATGTTACATAAGTAATGGATATATATCAACTTCCGAATTTATTATTTGCTGACGAGAATCGACTATTAGTAGAAACATTTGATTTTATGACAACCCGGATTCGAACTCACGACACACCGGTTGATAGTGGCGCAACTAAAATTCAGCAAATTATATACTTCATAAAATATTTCCTAAATTACGAAACTGCTTTCCTAATTTGAGTTAACAATTACTTAAGCTAATGGCCCATTACACGCCTTGTTGGTGGACGTCAAATCAAATCAACAAATCGTCTAACGCGCCATATACCTAAAATTAAAACTAACTGCAAAGTATCGTTCTTTGACTGCGCGGCTCACGTTTCCGCTAGGCGTTCCAATATCCAGTCTATGTAACTTTGAGTATTCGTGTAAACACCCGGTACACCAATGCGTCCACAACCAATGCCGTACGAAACCACACCGAGTGCATAAAAGCGGGTTACACCTTTATATGGCTAAAAATAAAAATAAAAGCGTTACTTGGGATTTACTACTACAAACTTTTTAGAGATGCACACCTCTGCCACCATTAGCGGTCCACCGGAATCACCGCCACAGGTATCACGTCCGCCACCCAAATCGCCGGCACATACTACAGTATTGTCGAATTGCTGATTGGAGACAAGTCTATTATTGGCCTGGTAAGATTGTCGACATACAGAATTGTCCATAACTTCAATTTGTAGTTCTTGTAAAATATTTGACGAACGTCCACCTTCCATCAAACGTCCCCAACCCGCAACGAAAGGATGATGACCCAAATATGATTTATTTCGTAGCTGCGCGGAAGCAGGCAGACATATGGGGCATATGTAATCTGTAGAGAGCAGAAATTTAGCATTCGTACACTGATCGTTCAGAGGATTATTCATATCATGCCTGTGAAATCTACATTTTTCTCCAGATATAGGATTGCTATGTCATAGCGTCGATCTCGGGCACCAAAATCGGGATGTCGTACTGACTGTTGAATTGAAAAGAAAGTTAACGAAAATAAATAATGTATGGTAAGGTTATGAATAACATAATAAAACCCTTTGGAATGTCCCCAAGATTAATAAAGATTTTGTCTTTATTTCAGTTCTCAAATTTTTTAGAAAAATGCTCCGGATCCATTTCGGCTATGGAATTGATAACCGGATAACTAATTAGTCTCATTAGGTCTCACCAAACCAATAACCAATTCTCTCAATACATAACGCTCACCTTTACAACATCGATATCCACGTGTTTCGTTTCCGTTTCTGTGCTCAAATCATATTCGCCTAAACGTACAAACGATCTGAAAATGTGAAAACATATTTATTTTATAACTTCAAAGTAGCGATCTCCCGTTCGTACTACTTACAAATCTCTCAAAATGCAATGAGCTGCAGTCAGCACGTGTCGCGCTGTTATCAACGAACCGCCACAACGAAAAGGTGACAAACTATAACGGTCATACCCGACTAAGGCCATCCACGGCCAAGCGCCAATACTGCTATCACCACCGCCAACCACTTTCAGCGACGATAGATGTGTGATCCCACAACCTTCATCTTCCGTCGGCAAATGCCAGGCCGCATCATTGGAACGCGTCATTGCTTTTCGCTGCTCTAGCGGGCAGCAAACATTCGTGCCGATGCTGTAACAGATTGCATTGGAAAGCTCTAATTGTTTACGGAACTCGGTGTCGGTGGGATTTTGTTTCGCGCGTTTTAGCAAAGCGTCGCAGTTTTGTAGAGCTTAAATAACGAAGAGAGGGAAAAAATATTATAAACAATACTGCATACTTATAAATAGCGGGTAGGGAGGAAGAGAGAAATGGAGAGGGAAGACAACAAATCAAAACACGCAAGCAACGGCGCAGAAAATGCACTCACGCTTGCAGTTGCCCTGACTGCCGTCGTGTGGAACGCGGCAGGTTTCCGGTGGTGAATTTACGCCATCGGACGCGGAACGGTCATCGCTGTTAATTTCTGGCGATACTGTGGATGTTGTTGTTGTCACATTTGCTGACGTGGGCACGAGCGTAGTTGAAAGAACTTGATTATCGTTCTGATTTGCGTCTTCGAAGGTCGGGCGAGTGCAGCAAAGCTATATGTATATAGAGTCATATATTATAGTTTGCAGTGAGATCAGTCATGTTAAAACTTACGATCGGATAATTGTCTGAAGTTAGTCGATTATAGCAAATATTGCGTAGAGCCTTCGTATACCGTGTCGCTTGATTCATGTCCAGTCGTTGATAGAGTGTCAATACCTCCTGACAGTATTTCAATGATACACACATACCCCAGTCGCCGAGTGGAGTGCGACAGGCATTATTTTGTGGTACTAAAAACAATTTATATGCATAAGAATATATTTATTTCATTATTATTTCAAAATATACAAATATAAAAATAACCTACCTTCATACGACATCCAACGATGAGCCGTTATTTCACAGATAAATACGGTAAGCAGTAATGTAATTGAACATTTTGTGGTCCACATTTTTTATTTATTTTACTTCCCCTCTTGCGCTGTATTTGTTTGTAATAAACGATTATTGAACCGTAACTGTGCTAAGTACTAAACTAGCGGAAAACCGACGCTATACTAAACCTAAATTATAGTTTTCACTAGACCTAATCATGCAATTCCACACTGAGTGTGCTCAACTATATGTTGGTAAATGTGGCAGAAAGTGATTATTATTTGTTGATTACTAAAAAACCCATAAGTATGGACTTCACCAAATTGCATTTCTCTCAGCGCATCTTCACGAACTCAACAAAACTACTACAAGTACAACAAATATAGCAAAAACAATACCAGAATTTTTATTAATAGATGCAATATAAAAATTTTGATCGGGCGTGCACGCTTTAGTTGTCAGCTACACGTTAGGCTGTAACATGAAAGTAACGAGTAAGTCGTTCTAACTTGTTACATCAGCTCCCTTGAAGTCTTCTAAGCAGTGAGGATGCCTAAAAGATGTTAAAAATCGTTAAAAGGCTCGACAAACAACAGCAAAAATCTATAGGTATTTCTGTTAAGAATAACCCTCAGACTACTAGCATGCGTAGCTTAAGTAAGGAGTGGGGTTAATTCATGTAAAACAAAGCCTATTTTTATGATTTTTTTTTTTTGATGAAACACTTAAAATCTATTTTTAAAAACAGATGTTACATGTACATATATGTCTACTACACCATTTGAAGAATATTTTGTTAGATTTTCATACAGAAAACTTTTTACAACCCTCCATTGTCGGATAATAGAAAGAGACGCGTGGCTGACAATTGTCAACAGGCTCCAAAATAAGACCTCAAACCTACAAACTTTTGAACTACAAAATTGTTAAAGAAGACATTGTATGACCACAGTTCTACAAAAAGTATTTAACAATGTGCTGATAAGATCGAATCGTTTCGACATTAAACTTTATCGTAGATACAGGGGATTTTAAGTTCTTAAATCCTCAATTTAATAATTGGAGCTTTTTGATATTTCAGTATCAGAGTTAGCTGAAGTTAGTATGCAACTTATCAGTGACATGCCTTTATACGTAGGACGAGAGTTCGGCAGAAATTAAGAAAAAATTGCACATGTAAGATGAGAATACAGATGGGTAAATAGGATGATACTGTTCTTCTCACCTATCACTAACTTTTAACTAAGCGTTACATTTTTATTTGATTTTTGACGAAACCTCTGCTCTAGCATACCTATGATATGTAGGGTTCAAAAATGTTAATCTCATACAAATGACTTTTATGAGAAGATTTCAGGTCTCAATTTTTATATAATCAGAGAGCAACTCAAAATTTAACTCATGGCAACCGAAAGAGCGTTCCTTTATGAAATCTCAATTTATTGATTGAACTCTACTGGATATGGCAGTAGTATTAGTATTACATTTGAGAGTGCTTATCTGAGAACACTTGTTGAGAGAGATGTTATTCCTTGAACTATGCTTTTAAAGTTAAGTAATAGATATTCCTAAATACTGCTAAACATACATATATCAAACAAAATTATAGAATTTTAAGAAATTTTTTCAAAAGATCTATATAAAAATGCTTGGTACTTTAGGAAATAGAATTCGTATTTTATATAAAAATTAAACTTCATATTATATAATAATATATTTTTCTAAGTTACCTAACAGTTCATTGTAGCGTTTCGATTAGATTTGATAATGCATTTGTTTATATATTTTTTTTTTCACAAATATGAATATGTAATTAATATTCGTTTTTCACAGCATAGTTGTTGTTTCCAGCAACTGGTTCTCTTAACTAGAAAGCTGATCGCTCACATACTCATCAATTTATAGCACGCTTCGAGAGTACCGTGTGTTCACTGATTAATAAAACTGCAATTGTAATATAAATGTTGTTGTCTCATTTATAAGTTGTAATTTGAAATCTCTGTTTAGATATTATGCCTGAAGAGAGTATTGCTAATGGATAATCGATTACATTGTTTAACAACTCAAAATAAACAACCTTAATAAAACAATGAGTCATACATACTGCATAACATCATAAAACGTATTTTGTTAGGATAACTTATTTTATAACAGAGATCCTGTATCCTAGTCTTATCGCTCTATGCTTCGAGATTTTTGAAAATTCTTTCAGTTCCAGTGTCCATCTTATAATTTTCCTATTTCTGATTGCCGTAATTATAATAGTGATGAATCGAACGTACAACTGGCATAATTAAATTGACATAGAAAGCAAGCTGTTATACCACTTTAATAAAGCATCAGTACACTTTTTTATATTAACTCAATTGAATAAATTTATTGGCGTTTTCAAGTTTCAAATTTTTTAAAAGAAAACAGAACAGAGAGGATTTCTATTTCAGTTGGCAACGAGAAAAATTTTACAGAATTTATTTAAAAAGATAATAATAAAAATTATTAACAATTTTTTTTTTTACAATTAAAAATCATCCTTGAGATTATGTGCCCTCACTAAACCATATGATTAAGTATCCATGGTATATAGGAAGCCACGCGTGTATAAACACCAGGAAATCCGGGTCGAGCACATTCATAGCCATAAGAAACTAAACCCAGTATGTAATAATGATAAGCGCCATTTTCCAGCTAAAAATATTATAAGCAGAGCAGTTACAAATGATTATCAAGGCAGTTTATAAATAAGTATGTGTAAACGGATATCCAAATATAGCCATATAAGGCTTGATATAATGTAAGCAAATATTATTACCATCGGCATCATTAATGGCCCACCGGAATCCCCTTGACAAGCATCTACATGAGAATTGCCAGCGCAAATAAACTAATAAAGAAAATCAATTTTAGTCATTTAGTCACATTTGAAATACATTTTTTATATAGTATCACAGAGTTTTTCCGTTAGAATCTTTATAAATTGTGGATATACATATCTCCAAAACTTACCTGATCTGTGAATACTAAATTTTGAAATGTAGCTTTATAAGACTGTATACAAGTTTGTTGAGTCACAATTGGCACCTGAACATCACGCAAAACATTCGAACTTGGTCCTTGAAATTTCACTGCACCCCAACCAGCGACGAACGGATTGTTGCCTACGAAATCTTTAGCGAATAGCTCGCCTTCGGGTAGACAAATGGTATTTATATATGCTAAGAAATACAACATATGTGCTTATGGAATCACATTTATATATACATTAATTAAATATAAGGGCTAAACCCCGATATGAAGACATGCATTAAGACTTCCGACCTTACTTACCCGTATCAGGAGCCGGTGCACTTAGGCGAACCAATGCAATGTCATTAATTATATAATGCGAGTCATATTGTTCATGTATGATTTTACGTTCAATGGGTATGCTTATAGCACCCGCCTCGTTGGGATCAGTAATATCGTGGACACCCAGACGTGCTGTGATCAGCATAGGACTTATGCAATGACCCGATGTTAAAATATAACGGTTTGATATTAAACTACCAGCACAGAGGAATTGCAATGAATTCGCTCTATTCTCATCGCGATAACCCAAGGCGACAATCCAGGGGTATGCGCCTAAAATACATGAAAACAATTGCAATACTAGTTGTTATAATGAATGTCATACTCTCACCTCGTCTCGCTTCCGTGCCGCCTACAACTTTATTGGTATAAGCTGTGCTCAAACCGCACTCACCTCCTCTCATCTTAGGCGACAAACGCGTTGGTACAATTGTTGTGTAGGAATTTATACTTGGACTGTTATAGGGTGGTAGGACGGGCGGATTAGTAGGATTCGCGGGTGGTTTTGTACTTTCTGACATATTGATCGGTGGTAAATATGATGGTGTTATCGGCGATGTAGCTGTTATTGGCAACGTAAGTGTTGACGTTTGTACATTGGAAAGTGAATTTAATGAAGAAAATTTAAATGCAGAAGCATACGGGTTGACTTGTTGCGGATTGGAGGGATTTAAAACTCCACTTAGAGGTGGGTTGTTTTGGTTGGAAGCACAGCAGATCTGGAAATAAATTTAGTATGTGTTATAAGTAGTCAAGCGGTATGAAATTTTAAATGAGCTTGTTAGCGTCAAAAGACCTTCAAATTTCGAAACTCGAGTGGTAATGAAACACAATTTTTGGATAAAAAAATGGTGCTGACACCAAAAGATGCTTGATGAGTATTATCTTGACCGGACCAAACGAAGCAACCATCCGTAAGTGGTTTGCTAAATTCCACACAGGAGATGACGAAGGCAATGGCCGAAATTATCAAAACATCTACAACATCATTTTTGATGACCATAGAATGAAATTTATTGAGAACACTGACACTCGAAGGCGTAAGTTTCATCAACAGTCATCCGTATAAACATCCGTATAAACAAATATGTTGAATAATGCATACATATCGGTCAACATGTGAGACATTTGGATGAAATTGGATAAAAATATGAAGCTTGATTTTAGATCGTGTCAACAGCATGTAATACCTGCCCATACCCCCATACACCAAATCTGTTGATCTGTTGGTCACATAGTCCTAATAGCAACTAAAATTTACCAATTGTTTTAAGAATTTCGTTAAAACAACATAAAGCTACAAAACATATTTCACCAAGACAATCGACGACAAGTATTCTCTTTTAACTGCTGGAACTAAAAACATATATAGTAACTCTGCTATTCACTATATCTAGATGAACATGTTTATCATATACACTAGTAGTTGTATACTTACCAACAAATTATTGCCATCAAATCCACACATTGAACCGCTCACGAAAGTCTGAAAATCTGGTAAATTTGGCGAAAATCTTGCAGCTTCATAGTAGTCCTGAATCAGTTGTGGACACGAACTCATATACACGCATTGGCCACTTCGTTGACTAGAATCTACACAATATTGCGCTAAGGGAAATATTAAATTTAAAGAAATGAGAGAGGAAAAGTAATGGAAAATTAAGAAATGAGATAGAAAGTAAAAATTGTTCAAACCGGTGTATGTGTTACCAAAAAATTTATTTGTACATTATATACCTAAAAGTTATTCAATTAAGTTTCCAATCGTCATATAATGACCGGAAATAATTATTTTATTTATGCGAGTGTTTTGATATCATAAAAATAATAAATGGTACATACTTAGGCTATAATAGAAAATTAGTTTCAAATAGTCAATTTTTTAGGTTAGAACTCTAAATGAATATGTTTTCTTTTTACTAATTTTGAATCAAATGAACTTTAAATATAATGAAACTTTTAAAATTAATATATTTAAATATCAAATATTATATAGGATGTAATATTATATAATATGAAAATAATATATTATACATATATTATAAAATAATGTAATTATAATAAGACTTAATTTTTTATAATATAATATTAAAGGGGCACAGTGCAGTTTCATATTATTTCGGCCATTAGTATTTTCTATAAACTAATTTATGAAAATGAATCCATATTTATTCTACTTTCTACTAAATAATCGTTCATTCATAATTGAAATACAAAAACATTAGCAAATTCAATTTTTTCGTGTAGTACACATTTCACTTTCGCCGTTTCCTGCGCCGACGTCCGCTAAGCGAACTGAAAACTAACGTATCCGAGCCGACTGGACCGGGCGTTGCGCTCGGCTGTACGCCATTTCGTGAGCGCAAAGGAAAATTAAAATTAGAACTACCACTTGGTTGTTGTTGTTGTAAATTCTGAGCAACATTCGGTTGAGCGTTAACCGGCATGAAGACAAGACGGTCTGACGATATGGCCGCGCCCGCTCGTAGCGCCAAAGACGGCGTCAATGTAGTTGCGCCCATTGCATTTACCAGACCACTTTGCCTTGGGTCAATGCATGGGCAGTAAGGTATCGGAGGAGTGCCGTCATTTAAACACAGCAGTGGCTGAGCCGGACATGGCGGCAGTGTAGGGACCGTTGGTGGTGTTGGTGAAAATGTGGGCACTGTGGTGCCGGCTGTAGTAGTAGTTGTGGTTACAGTTGTGGTTGTGGTTGTAGTCACTGTGGATGGCGTTGTCAATATAGTGCCTGGTGGCAGTGTGATAAGGGGGAAAAAACCTGGATAAAATGGACAAATTCCTTTGATTCCCGCCAGATAATTGAGAAATGGCCAAAAGTAAAGTTTATAGCACAGATCGGTCCACAGCATGCTGGCCAATACAATTCAAGCAACTTCGGTTTATGTTGAGTAAATAACTGTACACCCAGCTACATAACAGAGCATCAAATGGAATTCCGTTTAAACGCGTTATGTTCAACGTAAACGTACCGATGCGACCAAACGCCGCGACTTGCTGCATTCAACTGTATTAGGCCCATTTGTCAACTTGTCAACCATTCACCACCATTGGTTTAACTTTTTTGCAGTTAGCAGCAATTTCCTACTTCGTGTACTCCAAAAATTATTTTATAATCATATTGGCTTTTTGCATTATTTGCTTGTCATAAAGAGCGAACGCATCGTCACCTATTAAATTCAATTATGCATAAAGCTTTAATTGCACAGTCTCATACAGGGTCATGTAAATATTGTTGCATATTTCGATAATTTGTCAATAAGGTCATAATAAGAGGTAACATTCTCCATAATTATAATATCAGCTGCTTTCAAGTGCTTCACTGAGTACTTGGCCGATCGGAATTGATTATATCTTTTGCTAATTCTCTGCTCGCCATGTTTGCTCTCATATCAAACTATTAAATAGCTGTAAATACCCCATTAAAGCTATAAAAGCTCTTTCTATTAATTTATTACTCCTTTAGGTTTGCCGACAATTACTAAATATGGGCTTTCTAAGGAAAGCATATTTTAATTCTTAATTTTTTGCAAAATATAAATCAAAATATGTTGAGTCGATCCATAAGAGATTTTATGATACTCTCTTATCTTTCTAGTGCCAATACGATGATTTTCAAGTACTGTTTTCAACAACCCAGTCCGAGTCAAATTTGATCAGATCATAAATTATCGATAGCTGATATCTATATATCGATAGCTCCACTTATGTGTCATGGAGCATTGTTTCGATATATTATGCTATTGGTGTTCTATAGCCCATACCTGATATCAATAAATTCTATAAGTTTAACTCTACGGATGTGTTATTTGTATAAATATATCTATCTCTAATATAGAGTAACTAGTTAAAATTTTTCAATTAACAATTCCTAAGATACTTTTTACTTAATTTGCACCCTCTAACCATTGAAAAATTAAAAATGTTACAAAAATAATACTAAACTGTATTGTTTTAGGCTTTATATACAGAAAAATATGTGAATTTTTTCGATTAAATCATTATTTCACGCATGACGGTTTACGAAGGAACAAAGTGTTTATTTGATCAAATTAAAATAACTCGGCCAGTGGCTTTTTTATCATTCACACTCATATTCTATTTTATTGACGCCACCGCTGACGAGCTGGTTTATCCAATTCTTAATTGTATAGCATTTTGTAATTGCTGTTGGAATGTGTTTGTATTCACACTTTGACATGGCCAGTAGGAAACTAATTTAGCTAAATGAAATCAACCAAATTTGTTTCGGTTTGATACTTCCTAAACCCATAAAGTATCAGCACTTCAAGGTATCGCAGATACTGTCTCCAAGCAAATAATCACCAGAGTAATTTTTGTTGCTAGCCTTTTCGATTTCTGTGTCGATTTTGGTGACTATATTAGCCGTTTGAAGTAGAAAGCTTACCGCGAGCTTTATTAAATGGTAATGAAAAATGTTACGCAGTATTTATGATGACTTTTATATGTACTGCTTGTTTTTGTAACAGATTGATGCAATTCTAAAATAGTTTTAGAGAATACTGCTTCGACGATCACCCTTGGTCCGACTTATATTTGACTTCGTACTGGTAACATAGACCCGACTGTATTATATTAGAATAAACTAATGGAATAACATGTCAATTAAATCTATTTATTGTGGTACTTCGCTCACATATAACTGCATTAATTCTTTCAAACCTCAAATAGCCTTCAGGTTTTTACTTCTTATTTAAAGGGCAGGCTTCCCGACTATCCATTCACCTATTTCATTCAAATTAAACATATACATATCTATGATATCTAGAATACATCTGTTTTGTACAATAGCTCTAAGTACATATAATACAAGAGATTACTTATAGGTATATCATATGATCAAATTTGACCCGGACTGACAAAAAACAAAAAAAAATTAATGTATTTTAATACAAATCTCTATTATTGCCTTCAAAATAGACTCCTGAGCCGATACAAGCATGCCAACGCTTAAACCAATTTGCCATATACTCGTTATACTATAACACTCGACTGGTATGGCATTCGGTGCGTTCAGCGAATTTTGTTTTTTTGATTTCAGCTCATTTTTGCAGCGCCATTAGGTAAATGGTTGGACATTTTCGACCTAATATTCATAAACCTCGACGTCATTTCTGCAGAAGATTCAGGTCTTTTCGTACGAGTCTAGCATTGACACACTTCATACCCAAAACATTAACCAAAATGATTATCGTCATTAACAAAGGCGACTCGTATGAAGCAAGTTTTCGACCTTAACTGAATGCTTTATGCCTATCAAATACATATGTTCGTGATTAAGTAGACTCCCCAGAACATTTTCACCGATTTTTATATGTTATTGCATTGGAAACACAAAATTTCATGCAAACTTGTTGTCTATTTTTTTCCATTGTAAACATCTCCAGACAAACCGTTCGTGTCGTACACAAACAGCTGTCAAACACACACTAAATAACATATGGATGTCAAACTTCATTCAAGTATAAAAAAATTCGGCAATTTAGGAAAAACATTTTATCGATTCAGTTTGTGCCCAGACCAGTCCGGGTCAATTTTGATCAGATGGTATATACAGGGTGGCTTACGAATCTATTTTTTTTTTGCTACAAAAACAAACCGTAGTAACTTTTTTTCTGTGTGGGTATTCCACTTACTTTTTTTTTTATTTAGCAGGTTATTATTAAAAATATTAAAAATAAATGCCTGGGATACAGAAAAGATGGTTACGATAGTGCAGCGGTACCATGCTTTGCAGTCCGTCATTTCAGTTCAAAAAGAATTCAATCGTAATTTCGGAGGCACTTCCCCGAGCAGATGGGCCATTCTGTGGTTGGTAAACATGTTTGCCAAATCTGGAAGCATGGCAAGAATACCGTACCACCGTTGTTTAATGATGTTGAATAAGTTTTTTTACCCAGAACTGTGCCGAAGACGAACGCTAATATTCAATAGCGTTTGGTTCCAGCAAGATGGAGTAACTGCGCAGATAACGAGACTGAATATTGCCGAACTCCAACGAAAATTAAAAAAAAATAATATCAAGAGACTCCACTTTCCGCTGACTCCCAAGGTCAGCTGACCTGACTGTATCAGACTCTTTTTATGGGGTTATGTCAAGCGGTCAAGAGATGTACAAAACAAACTCCAGAAATCTGACTGAATTGAAGCAGTCCATTAAATCGATAGTTGAGACAATACTGGACTTCAACCTTTCAGACCGCAATGAATAATTTCCTAATTAGGTGTCGCATATGCGTGGCTGAGCATAAAGGTCATTTACGGTCCATAATTTTTAAAAATAATTAAATATATAAAATAAAATAAAATTTGCTATACAACAAACATATTTATGTAAAACATTGATTCAAAAAAACAGTTATTACGGTTTATTTTCGCAGCACGATTTATGAGCCACCCTGTATTATATATATATATACATAAATAAATAGTATAGTATAATTTTGTTTATAAGAAATAAAAATGCGATAACCTTGGCGGTCCATTGTATCCTCCTAAGAACAACCTTTTAACATAACTGTATCCATATTATTCTATGATCTTAAGGGCGCATTCAAGTTTAGAAATAAAAAAAATCGTTTTTATACCCTGAACAGTGTATATTAGGTTTGCCACAATAGGAAACGTCGAAGATCCTATAAAATATATACCTAAATGATTAGCATGAAGAGCTGAGTCGGTTTAACCATGTCCGTATGTCTGTCTGTCTGTATATACGCGAATTTGAGATATCAAATGAAATTTTGCACATGTTGAAGCTGCACATTTGTCGGAATCGCCGATATCGAACCTCTATAGCATATAGCTGCCATACAAACTGACTTTGACGAGATATCTTTACAAAATATAGTATAGACTATTTTCTAAGACAACGCCACAATATCTGAAGAAATTTTCCACATCGGACTTTTATATCTTATAGCTGTTATACAAACTGAACACTCAAAATCAATTTCTTATACGGAAACTTCGTTATTTGTGAAGTCTATTCCAGCTTTTTTTTGCTTCAGATTGCTAGCAGGATTGAAATGGTGGTTATAGATTGTTTGAGACCCCCACTTTATCAGCTGCTAATTTTTGAAATTTTTAATTTTTTAATATTTTCCTGTATTCTTTTAATGTTAAAAAATAATTAAAGAAAATATGTAGTTAAAATATGAATTGCCTTTTTTACGACACTACAAAATTTACCTGAAACTCTTGCTTAGAATACCCCCTTAATATGAGTCATACCAAATTTGTACTAAACGTCCGTGCATGCACTGTTATTATCATAAGTATATTTCACTCTTGTTAATAAATGATTGAACTACAAAGATAAAAAATAAAAACAAACAAAATATTGTCACTCACATTCAATGGACTCCACGATAGTCAATAGCCAGGCTATTAAAACAATGCACCTCTTCACCTTAAAATTACACAATCTCCGTTTCATTTATGTTAGTTTAATAAAATATTAGAATTTTAAAGTTAAAGAGGTCCGTAGTCCTAATGCTACAACTGCCCGGGTGTAAGTGTTATCATTGACCGATTCAATCTGAACGCGTTACACTTTTAAATAGTCAACAATTGCGTAAATCCCCGAAACATCATCGGACACTAATTGTCTAGTGATACATTGAAACAATGGATAATGGAAGCGTTGGGAAAAAATATTCACTTAATCATAGTAATGGTATAATTGTTACAATTGCAACAATTTGTGCGCACATACATACATACATGTGTTTGTATGTGTAGCAATCTATAAAGTGTTGTTTATAGCTATGAATAAAGTAAGAAAAAATTAAGCATTAATATTATTATTTGAACTCATTAAACTAAAGCACTGAATGTAATGATAGAATTATGAAAAAAATTGAAAGTAAAGGCCAAAAAGTCATTAACTGCTAAAGGACCTAACGTTTAAATATGTATATATTTCAGCATATTTTATTGTTTGTAAAATTATGTCAATTATAAAAGAAAAATTTGAACCAAAAAAAAAATCATTGATATTTCGTCGACTAATAATTATGACTATATAAGTTCGTTGCTCCTCTTTTTCAAACTTTTCGTAAGTAAATATAAAGAGTACAAACGCACCAAAAACTTTGCCAGTTTATTAGACGGATTCTTACGAATTAGTGGTGAGCATCTTACACTACTTTCTAAAAAATTCTAATAATAATTACATCAAGAGATTTCATAATAACTGTCAAGCTTTTCAATGTCAGAAACGCACTCGGAGATAGGTACGGGTATATCAGAATCTGTAAGAAACAAAATAAGTATTTTTCCCCATTAATTGCAAAATTTAGAGAGTGGTAAATCGAACAATCAACTAGTATATATAGTATAGACTACCATAAACATATTATGAAAGAACAAGAGGATGAGACTTTATAGAGGTACCAAACCATACACTCTATTGTCGTGCATTCAAGAGAGTAGTGTTCAAATACAGCGAGCACAGAAGTGTTGGGGGATCGAAGATGCCTTCCAACTGCGCTATAGCTGGTTTGCTCATCTATGCCGTTAACATAGCTACCAATCCACACAATTAACAATGAATGATATTTCAGGGGGAGTGTCTCACCACAGCCAGAGAGCAACAGAGAATGATCAAAGTGATTTATTTTGGCCCGAATTGAACAATACGATCATGTAGTAAAAAGAGAAGGTGTGATATCTTTTCATAATATGTGTGGGTCAGTTAAATTGTTTGGTTTTAACCCCACCAAATGTTTTGAGTTTTCCTAGAGTAGTTCCACCCATGATTCAAAATCAAAAAAGAACGCAGACTAAAGCTAAATAGGGATTTTAAATAAATTTTGGATTCCCTTGATCCTGTAGCCTATCCTCCGAAGAACCTTTGAAATAAGGAATTCTGCTTAAAATTATCTCAAATTAAAACACCGAAAATACATGTCATGATGTTTTTTTGACAAAATGGCGTCTTCCTAACAAAGTTGGTTTCTGTGAAAAGTTTACACTTCAGAGTGGCTTACAAAATCGAAATTATTATTTAAGAAAATCACCGTTTCTGAAAAAAAGTATTTCCGAAAAAAGGCGTTTAAAGTTTTGGTAGCCGATTATAGTTAAAAAAATTATTAAAAATACGATCATATCTTCGAAAAAATTTGCTTTTTTCGGGAAATGTTCTCAAATATACATACATATGTTCATTCAAAATATTTGCTAAAAAATCAGCCCCTTAAGGGCTTTAAATGATCTTAGCAGCTCTACTAATCTTGATCTACACAAAATCTAGTTGATTATTAAAACGTCATTTTGGTCATTGTTCGAACTACTCAGGAGATGGAGATGAACTTTATGAGGGATATTATAATTTTACAGTTCATCTTAAAAAAAATAAAACGAATAATATAATTTCACACGTTAAGTACTTAGAATATAGGCTAAGTGTATAGGTACCATTATTCCTGCAGGGTTCGCAGCATTGACATTGAAAACTCAATTACAGTTATTGGCACAACACCAAATTTAATTGTAAAATTAATAACTTTGTATTTGCCCAATTATTGGCAATCGTAAAAGCCTGTAATTTCCCCCTTACAGTGGGTCAATAGAAAGCCGACGCAGATTTGCTTTACTGGCATGCATTCATTAGTATTTTATTTATAATAAGTATTTTACATATACATTCATTGGTATTACACTATATATTATGCATTAATTATAAATAAGCATTTGAAGGATTGAAAATCGGATTTCATCCAAACTAATGCCGACTACCCCAAATAAAGAATGCAAAACAATTACACATACAAATTAAAAATTTCGAATATTTATGTGGTGAATAATGTCGTGTCTTCTACTCTCGATGCTTGCAGTCTAGGAAGAGTTGCGCTTCTGCCTGTGAATAATTATGGCAAAGGGTTATATAATATATATTAACAGCGCTTCGAAAATTACTCATACGCCACAGCTGTCTTTACCTGCACAAAGCGGAATATTTCGAGCAGCATCTCATTCGAGGTCTTGCAATTGCCGCTAGACTGTGTATCGAAGAAGCCGGCTGTGCCACCACTCACGCTACCGCCCACCGAACGTTTGCCCCAGTCTGGTGAGAAGGTCAACTGTAAATAGATTGTAACTGTTTTATTTACCAATTTACTGGCCGTTTTTCGTGAACTATATGTGCACCTGACAGTTGACCACAGCCAAGAAGAGCAAAAGCATGGCGGCGAAGAGTTGTGTACGTGTTGAGTTCATCTTGAAAACTGTGCGAAACGTTGCTTGCTTATCATCACTTTATTGAGGCTTTTTATATGAATCTGATTTATTTATGTTCATTGCAGGACATACGCAATGTCCTTGTGATCCTTAGACATCCATTATTATTTTTTTAATTAGCTGAGCACTTTGCGGTCTTCTCTCATGTCATGTATTTCACTAGTAGGGTTTGATTGGAAATAGTAAATTGACGTCAAGAATACACATGTTAGCGTTTCTGCGTCTTTTGCTAATAATTTTTTTCCCAGATTTTGCACTATACGTATATGTGCACCCTTTACAACAAAATCTCGATGCAAATAAAATATTGCCTCCGATGTTGTTGTTGTTGTAGTAGCAGAATATTTATTCCCCCATCCAATTCCTTCAGCCTTAGACCTAAAAAGCATGCGATTAGTTTTAGTAGAGTCCATTAAGTTGCTGGTGATTGAGCGATTGGATATGCAGCAAATTTGAGCTGACCACCTCGCATGTAGGACAGTAAATTGCAATCCTCTTCTTTGACATAAGATATTATTATTTTTTCAAAAGATCTTCCTATTCTTGCTACCAGAAGGTGACTCCTTAATCACGTGGCAGACGATGAAATGGTGCAGTATATGACGCACCAGGATGAATTGCCTCATAAAGCGGAATGCAGTGACGTTACCGACAACAGTTTCGGTAAGATTAGAAATTTTTACATGACGTATCGATGGACTTCACGGACCAAAAAGAGACAATGTAGTTTACTTAGACCAAACGAAACCATTATATGCAGTTAGAACGGTTTCTTTATCTTTACCCAATTACAAAAATTGTGTGGTTAGAATTTTCGTGTCTTCGATATTAACATTCAGCCAATGTCTTTGTTAATAAAGAGCTTGGCTGTTTATGGAAAAATAATCAGCTTCCACACAAAAAATAGTCTTGAGATGTGACTGAGACTTGTCCTAAGCTCTTTCCGGTTATAGTTAAAAGTAAGGATTGAAAAGTGTTAGTGGTGGTATATGGCTTGATTCTCCGCTCACAGATGTTTTACCTCTGGAGGACACTTTTAATTATCTTCTGGCCATAAATCCACCTCTTAGTGATGCGCATCACAGACGAGACGTAAATATCGCCGGCAAGAATGTAGCAGTCGATCGTGCCAGAAAACTTTGACATGTGCTACTATGACCACTATTGAGACTAATCAATTATGAACGCAGTTTGGCATTATTGAGGGTTGAGTTAGTGTCTTGTAACTTACGAAATCCGTGTGAATGCGAGATAAGGCACATGTACAATATTAGGTGAGAGATATTGTGTATGAGAAAGAGAGTGGTTGATCGGTCATAAAATTCCAAAAGTTCAGAATTTTTGTACGACTCAAAAATATGGTTTTATTGAGAGCTTTTCTCTGGTATCGCCTACAAGAAAACTGCTGAAGCTCAGATGATATCCATCGTGGCAACAGGTGATTGGCAGAATATAAACGTTAGTAATCTGTATTCAGACATTTAATACAGAGGTGGCTGTACTCCTGTGTTCGTCCTCCTGAACAACCGCGATGGTTATTTTGTTTATATTAAGTTGTGGGAGTTAGAGCAGTTCGAGACTTCTATTGACCGAGAGGAACTACAAGCGTTGATCCGCTTGATGTAACAACGACGGAGTGGAACACACATACGATACAGATGTGAGACCTTGGGTTTTTTCAAGGCGGACGCTTTTTAGTAGTAGACGAAGCAGAAGAAACAAAATGTGCAAAATTTCAGAGCGATATCTCAAAATACAGACAGACGGATATGGCTAAATCAACTCAGCTCGTCACTCTGCTACTTAATAGGGTCTTCGACGCTTCCTTCTGCCTGTTACAAGCTTCATGGCAAATTTAATATACCCTGTTGCGAGTATAATAAGTAACAAATTTTAGAAAGCAAAAATGAAAAATTTGTAAAGTTGTTTTTTGTTTTACAAAAATTAGGCCTTGCTTTATTAAATGTATTTTTGTTTTTTTTTCACATAAATGTATACATATAAATATAACGCTAAAATATTTTGTTTAATTAGTATTATACGTACATTAATGTATGTATGTATGTGTAATGCAAGCGCTGCGAATACTAGGCATGTGAACAGATGATTTAAATTTTATTTTTGCCATACGAAAATGTTGCGACATGCGCTTGTGCGTTTTAAAAATGCATATTTCTTTCAATTTCATTCATATTTCATAAGTGCAAACAACCTTTACTGCACACACACATACATACACATGTAATACATGCAGTTATGCTATATTATAGAAAATATTCATCATCTTCAATATAACGCTTACAAACAAACTTGTGCATTGAAATTTTTCGGTGTATTGTCTGTATGTAATTTGTGCAATTCAGATATGTAAATATCAGCGTGTGTGTTTAGCCATTGCAAATATGTGAAATTATATATATTTTTTTTTTTTGCAATCACTTCCTTTATCCACAAATAAAAAGTAAATTTGTATTTTTTGCTATCTTAAATGAAAAGTGTAAATTTGACTTAAGATTTTTTAACTTTCCAATATAAGTTTTTGCATTTCAGCATTTTAGCATTTGTTAAGTATAATACAACGTTGTCTTATTTATTTTTAGACTTTTAGAATATCAGGATGGTACAGCAGTTGCAACCGAATTTTGATTGGCTGCCTTTGCTTTTACATACATTACACTCATACATACATTTGTACATATAAAAACGTAGGCACTCAAAATTTTATTCGTTTCATTTAACTGTTAGTTAATATTTTCTGTTATTTTTCTTTAATAGTTTTTCTCGTTTTCTTTAATTTTTTTTGCTTTCTTTTTGTTTAATATTTTTTGCTTTTTGTGTAATAATTTTTTGATTTGTTTAACAATGTTATACATTTTTAATTGTTATTTAAACATTTTCTTTCGACAATAATTAGCAAAAAATGGTGTTCTCAATCAATATTAAGCATAAAAATACAAATCTCTTTTGGCATAATCATAACGATTTTCGCAATGCAATTTTATCACTTAATAAATAAACTATTATTTTAATATTAAATACAAAACTCACATACTTATTAGTTAAACATTTTAATCGCCTGACGTTGTACATAATTAGTTTATAAAATTCACAAACATATATATAATTTTTTTTATATTTCCTTACTTTAATATGTGTATAAAACTTTAATTGGTGTTTTGATTTTTTAGCGTTTAGCATAAATTTGGTTAACAAGTTTTTCACTGACTTATTAATTTGATTAATAAAAAAACATTAAATATTTTTGGCGGTATTCGATATTTTCGTTGATTTATTGTGGCAAATCACTGTTTTAGCTTACTTTCTGCTCTGTTCGGTGTATACTATGGACTCTGGTGGCTTGCATTAGAATTTCGTTTTTGTACAATAAATGTAGCGTTTCACTAAATGTATTATCATAAACTGTTTTTCGTCACGTGTGTACAAACAGATTTTTCAAGTGGTACGCTGAAATAAGAATTCCTTCCCCTTGTATTGCACATGTACCGTTGTTTGCTGCTGCAATGAGTTACACTTGTGTTCTATGCATTTACGCGATTAGCATAGATTTTGTATGTGTGCGTGTGTGGTTTTCATGTTTTTGAATAAGTAGTTCTTTATGTAATTCAGTTTATTGGCAGCGTTTTTCATCAATTCCACATCGATATCGAAAATTATTATTAATCTTCGAAAAAATCATGTACCGTCTTCCAATCTTTAATTTCTGCATAGCTGTTAACTGTTGCCTAATATCGCATTACAATACGCAACATTTTCGTTTGCTTTTCCTATTATAACTCTCCTCTAAGAACGGACGTTCGGCTAATTGGAATTTCCTCACGATACGTACAAGCTCGTGAAATGCTTGATCCACATTGACACGCGCCTTTGCGCTGCACTCAATATACGGTATCATGAGATTTCTGCTTACATTTTGCGCCTCTTCCAATGACACTTGTCGATGTTGTTCCAAATCGCATTTGTTGCCAACCATCAACATGGGAAATTCATCACGATCCTTGACGCGTAGGATTTGTTTCTGGAATTTCGGTATCTCATCAAAGCTGGAATGATCGTTTAGAGCGAACACAAGCAGGAAACCCTCACCAGAGCGCATATATTGCTCACGCATAGCACTGAATTCTTCTTGACCGGCAGTATCCAAAACTATGTGAGACAAATTTATTACAGAGCGTTTAACAATTTAAAAAAAAATTAAAATTATAGATATACTTACTATCTAACTTGGCTGGGATGTCATCGATCACACACTGTTTGGTATACGAGTCTTCAATAGTAGGATCATAATCAGTTACAAAGTAGCTCTGAAATTGGTAAGTGAGTAAAAGTTGCAAATATGAACTTGTGATATTAAAATTATATATTTTACATATAACATACTCGTACAATTACTAACACTAAGTGTAAGTGGCATACTGACTTATAGGTGTACGTACATATGTAAATTCCGCATATGCGTGATATACTTGTCATAAATTTTCCTTAAATTAACAATATTTACTAAGAAAAATGTTTACTTAACAAGCTGATAAAAAACACGTCAAGCAAGACACAGACAAGCTTTTACTAAGCAATCATACTATTCACAAAAAATTATTCGCGCTTTGATCATACAACATTCATAACTCTAAAAAATTGTAAATATATTTTATCTCTAACGAAACAATGGCAGTCCTCAGGCACTTAAGCACTGTACACATAATCGTACACATATGTATATATATATATATATGTCTATGAACAGCAAGGCGTCTTCTTGAGTTCATGCAACAAATGAGCAATATTTGATCTATACGTATATGTATAACTAAATATTGCCGTTATACTAAACAATTTTCATTTTAATTTAGAATTCAATGAAAATATACACAAATATTGCAAATGACGTAAATTTCTAAAAATACGCTCATAAATAAGGTTATTATAGCAAGAAAATCTTTTACATATTTGTGCACATATGCATATACTTAAGGAAAGTAAATATGAAGACAAATTTATTTGCCCAAAGCCTACAATAACATGCTGGCACTAACCCCCCTTTCATTTGTGCACATAAGCGCATGAGTTTATACATTCTTAAATTTCAAATTCAATTAGGGGGAGATATCTCACAGTATTCAAGAACTTGACGCTTTGCAATATTTGATATTTTTTTAGGAATTGTTGGACAGCAGTGTATTAAAGAGTTTGAAATGCGTCATTCTAAGTATAAAGATTAGAACATTTGCATATACATATATGTAAATACCTATATATATACCCAACATAAAAATTATTAAGGTGGGTGTTGAGCTACATATAATATAGCATAAATGTGTATAGTTAGCATAAGCCGTGTAGTACCAATATCTCAAAGTTATATGCTTTGAATTAGAAATTTTCTTAAGATGACGCTATAATGTGGGCGTTGCTCGAAACTTACGACTCGATGGTACGTTAGCAGCGAAAACCGCGCACTATGAGCGCGATATCCCATAGAAGACAACAGCTGCTGCCCCAAATGGTAGCAACTAGTTATACTAATATTAAACGACAAACGAATGTCAAGTTTTTGGTGAGGCTACACTCGTCCAAGGTCTTTGCGTGCGTATATTCACAAATGGAAATGCGCGGATAGGCTCCGCACTCGGCAAGCTCTTATCCAAATCAACTTGTTACGCTTTTGTATTCTGGCTACACCTCCCCCATACACCACTCATCGACTATCTGCTCAATTGCCGTTTGAAACATACCTGAATAAACTGTATTGTTAATGCCGATTTTCCCACACCGCCACCGCCAACAATTACTAATTTGTAGGTTTGCACAGATGATCCACTGCCTTGGGTCGTATTATTTCGCGACATTTTATTAAAATATTATAATTATTTATTTGCGGTCCAATGTTTTCAAAATGAAACTGACTGACGTTTACAATTTAGCTATGGTTCCACCCGAAAAACATTTCACTACAACAACGAACACATTAATGCACATTAATGGTCAATGAAGATGTCTGACAGTAGTCGACGTCGACTGAAGCAGCATTGGAAATAACTTGTCAGTTTAATTCCAACATGAAGAGATGCCAACTGCTTTACTTTCTAATAATAAATTAAACAGTATCAGTGACAGTTAAAAGAATTCATCTACGGCAAATATATGTAAAAAAGTGCTTTATCATCATCATTAACGTTTAGTAACTATTGATTTTTCAAGATTTCTACTATAAATTAATATATATAACACTGATTGTATAAAGCAATTATACTGAAGGATATCAACTGATTTAAAAATATTTTGAAAAGAACTAAAACTCATTTATATATTTATTTACTAACGTTAACTTTCTGTGTATATGTAAAATATTTTTCAAAACAATATTAATTTACATATATTATTAATTATAGTAGAACTTGTCAACTCTGCTCTTGGCAGTGTACTAAAAACTTTAGCACTAGAAAAATATGGTCATCTCTTCTACTCTTTGGCATTAGAAAGCATATCAAATTCAACGTCAACATACAGATCTCTGTCAAGACGTTTTTAGTCATTTCTTTTTGCGGCAATCATTCGTCTGTTCGTTCGTCGAACTTGTGCCGTTTGCCGTTTTCGTTTTTTTGCTTTCGCAGTCGTCGTCATTATTAGTTCTAAAACTGTGAAAAATTCCAAGTGACTGATGTAAAAGTGAAAAATATGGCGAGTCTTGTGGGCGAACAGCAAATTTCATCAAATAACCAAGAAGGTAAAGCACTAAATCAGGAAAAAATCTTACCTAAATGTTCCGGTGGAGGCAGATGACAATTTGGCATAGAAATTTTAATAAAATAGATTGCTTTTCATGTGTGAAAAAACAATCGATTGTTGAAGAGCTGACGAACAACCTTGAGGGCAGCGGCGCAGCTGAGCGAAAGACAGCGGTAGCCGCGCAGCAAACATTTGCTATTGTGTGAACCTGAAAAGAAAATACTTTTTTCTCGTCACCATGGTGCACCACTCCAGGAAGGAGTGCGTGCAGAAAAAAACGTATTTGATATGAAAACACCAAACTGCTAAGTGCAAGGGCCAACGCAGTGTGTAATGCACAACTCAGCAGATTTCGGTGCCGAAGAGTTTAAAAATAAGTCAACCGAGCTATTCCAGAATAAAAACTGATTCGCTTTTGCATTATGTTAACCATCTGGTGTGTTGCACTTACATTACTTCTAAAGCAAAGCCAATGCTTCTCAAGTCGACGAACAATATATATTTGTTCATCGAAAAATTTAATCGATGGTTACTAAATATATTTTATGTATAGAAAGGAGTCAGGTGCTTTTCAAATGTTCAACATTTTTTTAGAAATGTTAGCAAAGAGTGTAATGTGTATATTAAAATTCGCAACTATGTGGCAAATTTATGTATATATAAGTGGCAAACTTTGTTCGTGATATGCAGCGCAGTCATAGACACGCCAGTGCTGAATCATCCATAAATGTTTTTTAGTGTTTACCGAAAAATATGTAATTCCTTTGTCCTAGTTGTGTCAATGGTGCGACCGCTCCCTACTGCAGTAATTGTGAAGTCGTTAGGTTACTGACCTTTAAGAGCCGAAATATTTGTTTAAATAGCCTTTTAATTTTAAAGTCCCGGAAATATCAAATAATTTCAAATATTGCGAATACTGTATACTATTATTTAAGAAAGAAGTGGGTGCATACTTTATATGTTTATACATACTCGTATATCATTGAAATACAATCTGTGCTATAGTGAAAGTCATTGGGCTGGTTCCATCAACGAGATATGGCTATAGAAAAGAACCAAGAAGTATGCTCATTGACTGATAAATTCGAGTTATTCAAATATTGATATGTGCAGATCATAATTAGTCATGTACAAAAGGACTTGATATGACATTTTATTAACAACTAAAATGTATTCTTTAACCGAAATTGTTCGAAGATAACTTGCATTTGTTCTGATAGTGTTTCCAGCAAATAGACAATTGATGTATGTGTATATGTGTAGTTAAGCCCATCACTGTTTCATATATTTGCTATGAAATGCCCGCACGATTATTTTCTTTATCACATAAGACGCAGTATTTTGAAGGGCATTTGCTGTGAAAGTGTGGTTGAAATATATTTTCACTATTTTCTCTTATTTTTGATTTATTAGTAGCTAACTACTTGTTATTGTTTTCTTTCGTTCCCTACTTCTCTATCTTATGTTTATTTTACTCTACAGCTGATTTGACTAATACACGGAATTGTGTTTGAGAAATGTTTACCCACATGTGTACACATATGTATGTCGTATAAGTTTGGGTATGTGTTTGGTTAGTGTGAAAACAGCTAAGAATAGTAACCCAACAACAATAAGCATCGAATTTTTTAATCCCCCACTGATCCATTGAAGATTTGTCAAATTAAAAACTCCTACAGATTTTTTAATATCGTCTGCTTACACGTTGTCTATACCTTTTGATGTTTTCTCTCTCTAATTTTACTGATTTAATATTTTACTAATCGTGAATTTTCTTTTATTTTGCAGCTGAACCAGTTCAGAAAGTCGATAGCCGAGAAGGCAGTGTCGAACGCAAAGGTAATTATTATAGTTTGGAAATTACTGCACGCACACAAATTCAATAAACGTAACACATGTGTATACGTTTGCTCATTTTATTTTTTTTTTTCGCTAAACAATCATGCTAAAAATTTCACATTCCATTTTTTCCACTCTTAACCGTAACGTTACAAAATTGGTCGAAACAATAAATGATTAAATCAAAAATTGAATTCAAAAGCCAATTTCGCATTTAATCCGTTTTCTGAACCGTTTGCTGTGTGTCCCCCCAATTCCATGGATAGTGTAACTGCTAATAAAACCACTTTACATTGGTTTGCGCACGTGGGTGGAGTTGATATTGAAGCGCAAGGTAGTTGAGTATAGCCCAATAATAGTTAATAATTTGTACATAAAATTGCAAAATGCCTATTACCGATATTGGAAGAGTTTTACGGATAAGGGTTTACAAAGTGCATGAAAAAATTAAGTTACACTGTAAATAAATACACATTATTATTTATAAAAATAGTAGCTCAAATTTTCAGAATGTAAATAAAATATTGTCATATCCAAATTTCCTAAATGCAATCGATTACTGAAATGTACGTTACAACCATTTTTCAGCCAAATTTTTGTTTTATATCTCAACCTAGAGTTATTTCTGAGTACCCAAAACTCGATTGCCCTTCCTATACCTTGTTAATATTCGAAGTAATAAAATGCGCATTATTGCTCTCTTCATTCGGTATATTCGAGTATAGTTCTTTCGTAATGTGCAATTGTTTCTATCGCTATCAATTGATTTTCCACTATATTCCCCTCCTTTGACTTTTGCACTGAGCTGGCTTCACTTTGTCATAGTCATACGAACGCAAAACATTACCTAGATGCAAAAAAAAATGAAGCTTTATAATTGAAAATTTAAATTCATATATGCACCGCATGTAGAACATATGTTTCTGCATAGTTTGAATCATGCAAACGTCGAAATACTACTAAAAACCGACAATAAAAAATCCGACCCAAATTACTAGAAATACATTTTTGTTGATGATGCAAGCGCCACAGCTACGTCTAAGCAGGAATTCACAAACATAAACGCAAGTAAAACGCTCGACAATTAGCAAAGAAGACGCCTATGTTACATATACTAGCTAGTATGTGCTACATACATGTGTACAATTTTTTATTTACTTGGCATTTATTAAGTATGTTAGTGTACAATAGCTACAATTGACATTTTGTTGTTGCTACCAGTCAAGTTGTCTACAAAGTCGTCTTATTTCCCAATCTCCACAATGTAATATAGCTATACAAGTATGTTAGCTAAATTAGTGTGCTTTTATACTACACATATGCATATGTATTTGTATGTATGTATTTTTGTTTATGCATAAACTGGAAACGCGAGGTGGAGCAGCCGATTTATGCCGGCAAATGCGACAAAAGCTACCAAAAATGCCTATTTATCACACAAATATTCGCGACAATGTTGGAGGCATGTACATATACACGCACACATAAGCAAACTTATATATTGTACTTACTCATTATTAAATATTGACACCTGAGTGCTGTTCTTTTATTTAAATTTTCATTAGTAACGAAGTAAATATTGAAGTTAATTAATACTAGTATTATGCATATACTCGCACACATACTAGAGCATGTTAAATTATAAACAAATTTTGATGTGAAAAAAGCAAGTAATACAAATGAATAGGTATTGAAGTAAAATGATTAATTATTGAGGAATTCGAGTTTGAAATTTTTTTTTTTAGGTAGGTATTTGCATCTTTTCGCACCAATCAGGACAGATACGAATGTATATACTCATGTATGCCGTTAGCAAATTACCAAGCGTGCATATTTATTAAAAACTTATATAACGCCACATCCGAGTGTATGTGTGTTTGGGCAACACTTTCCAATTTCTACCATACCTCCTACTGACATGCTGTCAGTTTAACCGCATAGCCATTGATTGAACGCTAATATCTTTCCAGTCGCAGTTTGTTATTTTTTCTTTCCGAAAACGCTTTTATGCTTTACGTATTAGCAATTTAAATTAAGCTTGGCAGTGTTTGTCGTCTTCTTTGTTTTTAGCTCCTAAACTGAAAAGCAAAGAAAACAATTAAGTGCTTCAATTTGCTCGCACTTTGTCTGCTCAAACGAACGAACGCTTATTCATAATTCGATTTTTGTATGTTCGCTGTTCCATTTTAAGTAGCTTTCAGTCTTTTTAGAACGTGGGCTGGGTCTTGATTCTCGTATGATTTTGCACTTTGTATTTTTTTGTATTCTTTGTTTTTGCTTACATTCTTCTTTCACAAGGGAAGGTAGTCCACTCCTATATATAATATCGGCATTTTCATTTAAGTGCCGAACAGAGGTTTATACCGAGAAGTATGATAAGAAAGTATATGTATGTATGTAAATATGTATGTATCTTGCCAGCAAATACCATATTTATTATGATGACGTCAGTTTCATAGTTGACTCTTCGCGTACCTGCCTGTTGAATACATTTTGCCGCATATTTATCAATTTGAACAGTTTGAAAGTTGTTGCTGGCAGAATATTTGGAAAGTATACCCTAAAGTAGAATCGCTATTATATTGCACCCATTTGCTAATTCCTATATACAAACATATTTTTATATGAGTTTATAAATATGTTTTCGTTCAAACATCACGTCGCTTTTGAGACATGTGAAATTAATATTATAAAATATAATGAAAAATATTATCATTGTACGCAGGTTTGTTTGAACCCTAAAAATATTGTTTATCCTATTATTTACGATATAGTACACATATATAAACTATATACTTAGTTGCCACAATTCGCGCACTGCAATGTCTCAACCTATTGTAGCGATATTGTACAAGTAGTTCCTGCGCCGTTTTTAAGTTTTTAGTATACTTGTTTGAAGACTATTAATACTCAATTATGAATTATCTAAACAAATTTGACTGACAAAAACAACTACACGCATTTTCACGTATTTTAATATAAGTCTCTACTATCGCCTTCAAAATAGTAGTGTCCTGAGCCAGTACAAGCATGCCAACGCTTAATCTAATTTTCCATACACTTGTTAAAAGTCTCGACTGTGATGGGCTTCAGTGCCTTCAGCGAATTTTTTTTTTTCCGTTTACGGCACATTTTTGGAGCGCCATTCGGTAGATTGTTGCACAATTTCGACTTCATATTCATAAGCCCACGTACCGTTATCACTAATGATGTGTTCGATGAGTGTCGGGATCTCAGCTTCAGGTCTTTTAGTATGAGTCTTTTAGTACGAGTTTAGCATTGACACATTTCATACCCAAAACATTAAAATGTATGAGTAGAGCCATAAGAGATGTTGAGATCAAACTTCAACTATCAGACATACGAACAGAAAAACGGTTGCACCATTCTAGAAAAAAAAATGTATGTTTCGATTTGAGCGCGCAGTTTAAAATGATCAGTTCAGATGTTATATCATTCTAATTTAAAAATTTCAGATTTTCTTTTTAGTACCTAGAATAGATAAAATACGTTATTATTACTTTTCGACCTTTAGCTAAGAGTTTAAATTAAATTGAAATTATACATATCGTACGATTGGTTGAGATCCATTTAACATGTATAACCTTTTATTTCCTCGTTTTCATAAAGTACACACAACGGCCTTTTTACAATGCCTCATTTCTCCATATCTTGGATGCATCGTCGCCGCACGTATTTGCGTTGCATGCAGCGCTTAATTTGAATTTAACAAACTAAGTGCACTTGAAATCTATTAAATGAACTAAACTACATACATACATACATATGTAGATACCATATTATAAAGTCTTTGATTGTGAACTTGTAAACGGTGCTTAGTTACCTGCTACATATATACATACATACATATTTAATGCAATTTTGATATGTATTTTGTATGTGCGATCTAAAGGCTCCAACCACTTCGGTTTCCTCTCTGCAACTCTACATGCACATCGTGAAGTAGCAAGTGTTGCTCTTCACCACGAAAAGACATTGGATTTACTATTTTTATTTGCACTCAATCCGTTTTTATTATTACAATTTTTTGTAGCTTGCGGTTTCGCATGTTACTGCCGCAAATGCATAACATTGAGAATAGATATATATATACATACATACATACTATTAATGTAGATATGCAGTTAAATACACACTCTAATTTAGACGTACGTAAATATGTAAATATGCGCATATGCGTTTGTGTCTTCTACTGACTAACTAATTGCAAATTCTCCAACATTCCATGCACCAACCAACCAAAAAACAAAAAATCAAAAAAAAAAAACAAAAAAACGAAAACCGTATCTAAAAAACCACACATTGCGCCGATTCGAATGTGAATGCGAATATTTAGTGTGTAAAGACCGTGACGAGAAGCTAAAGTTGGCACGGGAGCGTCAAAATGAGGAAAGACAAAGGAAAATCGAAGAGCTAAAGGCGCAAGCGGAAGCGGCGCAACGATATCGCGAACAAAAAGAAGAGGAACGTCGCCGCCGCATAGAGGAGATACGACAACGCGACACGGAGAAGCGACACCAAGTCGAAGAACGTAAACGCGCCATAACCGAGGCGGAAAAGGAGCGCCGCGAATATATATTGCGGAAGAATCAGGTATGCTGCTAGAGAAAATGCAATGTAAACAAAGCAAGAATGCAAGTGTTAATGCACTTGCGACTTTG